GGCAAGTGCGCTCTTTCTGCTAAGAGCATCGGCAACAAAGTTGGCTTTCCCCGGCTTGTACTCCAGCACAAAGTCGAACTCCGCGAGGAAATCTTGCCACCTTGCTTGCTTGGGCGTGAGCTTCTTCTGTGTGAGGAAGTAACTCGTCGCCATATTGTCCGTCTTTACAACGAACTTCGACCCAAGCAAGTAATGTCTCCACGTTCTCAAACAATGGACCACCGTCGTCATCTCCTTCTCTTGCACCGCATATCTCCTCTCGGCCTCATTGAGCTTGCGGCTCTCAAAAGCAATTGGGTGCCCTTCTTGCATCAACACTCCACCGATTGCAAAATCGGAGGCATCCGTTTGCACTTCGTACGCCTTGGTTGGATCGGGAAGTGCTAGCACCGGCTCCTTTGTCACCGCATCCTTCAAGGCTTCAAATGCTTCGTGGCACCGATCCGACCATTCCCAAGCCTTGTTCTTCTTTAGAAGATTCGTCAAGGGTGCTGCAAGAGCGGAGTATCCCTTGATGAATCTCCTATAATAGTTGGCCAGGCCGAGGAATGATCGTAACTCGGTGACCCTCGTCGGTGGCTCCCATCCTTGTATCGCCTCCACCTTGGCCTCGTCCATCTTTAGCTTCCCTCCGCCAATGATGTGGCCGAGGAAAGGAACCTCCGCTGCTGCAAACGTGCACTTCTCCTTCTTGACGTAGAGCTCGTTGTCTCGAAGGACTTGAAACACTTGTCGCAAGTGCTCGGCATGCTCATCGAGTGTGTTGCTGTACACCACGATGTCATCCAAATACACCACCACGAAGCGATCCAAGAATGGCTCGAAAACTTGGTTCATCAAGGTGCAAAAAGTAGCAGGAGCGTTGGTTAGACCAAAAGGCATAACAAGGAACTCGTATGAGCCATACCTCGTGACGCAAGCGGTCTTTGCCTCGTCCCCCTCGGCGATCCTCACTTGGTAGTACCCCGAGCGAAGATCAAGCTTCGTGAACCACTTTGATTCTCCGAGTTGATCAAACAAGTCGCCAATATTGGGGATGGGCCACTTGTTCTTCACCGTGAGCTTGTTAATAGCTCGATAGTCGATGCACATCCGCAACGAACCATCCTTCTTCTTCTGGAACAAAACGGGTGCTCCATAGGGGGATTTTGACGATTGGATGAAACCAGCATCCATCAACTCCTTGAGTTGCCTCCTCAATTCCTCCAACTCGGGAGGGGCCATGCGATAAGGTGCTCGTGCTGGTGGCGTCGCCCCTTGCTCAAGCTCGATCTTGTGATCGACTTCTCTTCTTGGCGGGAGCTTCTTTGGCAACTCCTTTGGCATCACGTCCACAAACTCCTCCAACACGCCCTAGATGAGAGGTGTTGGTGCCACCGAGCCTCCTTCTTCCTTCGCTCGCAAAGTGACAAGGAACGTGGGTTCATTCCTCTTCATTCCCTTCACCAACTGCATGGCCGATAATGCTCTCTTCGGCCCTTCTTCGCGCAACATCTTCACCGCGCAAAACTTGTCTCCCTTGTCAAGGCAAAGAGTGTTGGAACTCATTGCCATCACCGCGCCCTCTTTCTCCATGAAATTGACGCCAAGAATGACTGGATGATCATCCATGGTGAAGACGCTGAAGTCGGCAACACCTTCCCATCCTTCGATCTTCAATGGCACGTTCTTAGCAACGCCATGGATGGGTATTGCCTCCGAGTTGACGGTCTTGAGCGATCCTTGCCTCTTCTCGTAAGCGATCCCCAAGCGCTCCGCCTCCTCCACTCGAAGGAAGTTGTCGGTCGCACCGGTGTCAACCAATGCTTTTGACTCGCCTCCCTCGAATTGGGTGATTACAAAGAATCTCCCCTTGCTAACTTCGTTGGCGCCGGATTTTGCCGCGCCTAGCCTCCGCATGGAGCCTATCTTCCCTTCGTCTTTCCTAGCATTCTCCTTGGTCTCCCCTTCTTGTTTCTCCAAGGCTGCTAGCTTGCTCTTCTTTGGGCAATCTCGCACCTTATGTGGGTCGTTGCAAAGGAAACAAGACATTGGTTTGTCAAAGTTACCAGACCTTGCTCCCTTGCTCGAGCCTCCATGTTGGTACGAGCCTCTTCCTTCTTTGGAGTGCTGCCGATGATCTCCTCCCTTGCTCTTCGAGTTCTTCGACTCGCTCGGCCGCTCACTCTTCTTGTACTCCGTGAGAGCCTCTGCCGTTGCTAAGGCAGTAGCAAGATCTTGCACTCCACGCCTCTCGAGCTCCAACTTCGCCCAAGGCTGCAATCCGAAAAGGAAGCTAAACAAAGCCTCCTTGTCCGGCAGATCGGGGATCTCGAGTAGCAATTCTGAGAACTCCTTGACATAGTCACGAATACCGCCGGTGTGGGTGAGTCGTCGAAGCTTTGCTCGAGCCTCCATTTCGACATTCTCCGGGTAGAACTGCCTTTTGATTTCACGACGGAAATCCTCCCATGTGTCCATCACACATGTGCCTCTCTCTATATCACCTTGCCTCCTTCTCCACCAAACCATGGCCGTGTCGACCAAGTAAAAGGAGGCAGTGCGCACCATGACTTCATTATCATCGATGCCCGAAGCCTTGAAATATTGTTCTAGGCTCCAGAGGAAATTCTCTAATTCCCTCGCATTCCTTGACCCACTGAAGTTTTTAGGCCTTGGAACATCTACTCGTGGTGTGGATTGAGTCGCGGCAGGTCCGTTTGCCACGGCTCGTTTGACGAGATTGATCTCTCCTCGAAGCTCGTCAACTTCTTCACTTACTTCGTCCACCTGGCCTCGAACTGTCTCCCTCAAGGAGTCGATGGCGTTGGTGATGATGGTCACAAACTCGTCTCTGAAAGCTTCTAACCCCACCTCCAAGCCTGACATTCGAGTGCCCATGCCTTGCATGTCGTCCTTCGAAGTCTGCACCTCTCCGCTGACTTGATCGAATTTCGACTCCATGTCCTCGAACAAGGTTGTATGCTTGGCAATTTTCGTCTCCGCTCTCTTGAGCCTCTCCTCGATCTCCACCAAAGGCTCTCGAGTTGATCTATCACGATGCTTCTTTGCATTTGGATCCTTCTTCTCCTCACGACCGCGTTGTTCCTCATTGTTGAGAACTTCGCTTCCGGATCCAGCCATCTCCTCGAGGTTCTTTCTCACTTGATGAGCTACGACCTTGGCTCTGATACCACTTGTCACGGACCAACTCTTGGCCGTGCGGCACTTAGCACTCAAGTCTCGTTAGAACGCTAAGTCAGCCTTGCTCGTATTCACTCAAACTCACAAGTATGGAGAAATGCTCTAGAGATGGAAAACTCTCAATTTCTGGATGAATGAAAAGTGGTGGAGAGCGCTGCTTATATAGGCATCCTCTCCACTAAGTACAATGTGCATGGCCGTCATAAATGAACGAACCTAGATAGTCCCCCCATACATGAACTAGCCCCATACATGAATGTAATAAATGAGATGCATGAATAAATATAGAAAAAGGGGGATGCATGTACATTGGTGCATGAATCGGAAGATGCATGCACGTACTTGCATCGTTCTAGAATGCTCTAGAATCTTCCGCGTAACAGTACCCACCTGACCCAACCCGGTCACCACGGGTAAAACCCGTGTTGACGGATTTTGGGCCAGGTTCGGGTTTAAACCCGCTATACTATTCATCGGGTCGGGTTGGGTTTGGGTTTAGGTAAACCCGCCCCATGTGTACCCGCCCACACACATATAATTACTTTTCCGGTATATTTAATATTCTAAATAATATATCTTTCTTAAACAACTAATATTCTTTATGTTTGTGGAGACATGCATAATTTGTTCTTTCTAATTGTTTAGAATGAAGTTGATATTATCAAGTGGAGAGTGAAGAAACTTAATTGACGAGGAAGAATCTTTCAATTAATCTTATTGTTTATAGATGTTTATCTTTAATTTTGAGCAATTTGTATTGATCATTTGCGGTTTGCTTATATGCTCTAGATTGGTGTTTTTTGTATGATTAATTTGTATGAGAAAATTGATGTTAAACTTTTATTTTGAAAGAAACTTGTTATTGTAAATTTTTTACCACGAAAACCCACAGGTACCCATGAACCCGCGGATATAGGGCTGGAAGTTTGGTACCGGTATTTGGGATATACCGAATACCGTACCGAATTTGTCTATATTTGGTATTACCGAATATACGTATTATTTTCAATATTTTGTGGGATTGGGATTGGGATTGAGTTTCAATTGTTATTCGGTATTAGGGATTACGGGATTGGGATCGGTATATACCGAAATACCGATCAATACCGAAATATAAGCTAGTGTGTATTTTATCCTCTCAACTAGACTCTCTCATTCACTATTACGCGACCCTCAACCACCAAGAGTGCCATTTATTCATACATAGATCATTATATAACTATTTCACACTAGTATTAGTCGTTTCTCAACCTCAAATTCATCAAATTAAAGATTACCAATTACAAAAACTTGAGATGTTAGCTCTAGGAAACTCAAGACTCTTTGCTTAATCTCTTTGCCCTAAATTAAACAATAAAATCTAATTTATATATTTAATTATTAATGGCAAAGGTAATTAATTTTGTATTTGATAATACCGATTGGGATACCGAGGTACCGATTGGGATACCGAAATATTTAGGGATTGGGATTGGGATACCGAAATTATTTAGGGATTGGGATTGGGATTGATTTCATGGTGTAATTCGGTATTCGGGATTTCGGTATTTGGTATTGGGATACCGATACCGTACCGATTTCCACCCCTACGCGGATACCCAGTGGGTTGGGTTGGGTTTGAGTTTTTCAAACCCAACGGGTTTTACCCCGGGTTTTTTTGGCGGACAAATCTATGGGTTTGGGTTTGACAAAACCCGCCTCAACCCGACCCATTGCCATTCCTACTCATTCATTAAAACGTTCTCTGTGCTCGTCAGAGGGAAACTTCCCGGCAAAGCACTAATCTTTTGACAAATGATCCAACACGCGCCAGAGAATATGACAATGTAGAGATTGTTGAATCTCATGTTGAATTCTGGAATCCTCAAAAGTTTCTGGAAAATCAATATATGAACAGTAGACTTGCATGTATAAACGTGGACATATCATAACTCCGTAACACCCCAAAATGATTCCCCAAAAGCTTACTCCCACCTACACTGAAATACTGCTGCTGCTGCTGCTGCTGCTGCTGTTGCTACTACTACCACCATTTTAACCCATCTACACGAATCAATCAAATAAACGAAGTAAATTCACAGCTGTCCATAAAATGTTCTCTATCTTGGTCCAGATTCAAGATCAAGTGATGCAAATTGAAGCTCCCCATTAGGCCTAACAACTTGTTGATGCTGAGCTTCCATAGCTTGAACATTGCTCCCATGGACTGCGTTTGGATCAGCACCAGAACGTGACTGCTCCTCCAGCGCCCGAAAATATGCATACGGTCCCCATCCTGAACAAGATAACAAGAAAGAAAAAGCGAACATTAGAGACTTGGCAAAAGAATATGGTAACATAAAATGCCACTAGAATGAGGTTGGCTATAGGCATCATAGAGTTTAATAGGTTACCTTCATCGTGATAAGGGGCTGGGAAGAACTGTCTGTAGCAGAAGGTTGCAACCATAAGACCTGCATCGTTCCAGTTTTGTACACAAGGTTCAGCTTCTCGGAAAACTAGCAGCAGTGACAAAAACCCATGTTCCATAGTTCAAGAGAGACACTGACCTAAGAGGGATCCAGCAAACACATCCTGCCAATGGTGCCAGTAATCGTTAACCCGAGAAATCGCCACGAGAGATGCAGCAAGCAGAGGGAGGATCACGATGCACAGCTTCGCAACATGACCTTCCCTATCAAACACTCTGATCTTCCCACTCAAATACAGAGACAGAAAGCCTAATCCAGCAAACGACCCTGCATTTGAAAATAATGCCAGAATAGTTAAAATTAGTCTTAACTGCATTATTAAGCATCAATAAGATGGAACAAAAGCATATGTATTCCGGTGGCTTACAGGAAGCGTGGCCACTGGGGAAGCTCTTATGTCCTTCCTTTATGTCACTGGCTTTGCCATTGCATATCACATCTCCCAATCGATCATACAGCTATATCCAAAAGAGACAAAGAACCAAGTTAGAACCAGCAAAAGAACAAAGAAGAGAAGGGGTAACTAGTAAATACTGGAAGAGAAAGGAAATAATGTATATATAGAAGAGGGAAAGCATATATACATCCTTGCCATCAGGGAAGCAGCGCCAAAAGAAGTCGGGCCTCGGCCTCCCCACTGCAGCTTTGATGGCATCAGTTAGCACACCAGTAACCAACACGGAGAACAAGAGGCCTACAGAAACACAAAGGCAACCAGTTCAGATTCCAAGCAAATACACTTTTCATTGTTAGCTACCAACAGTTGGTTCAATTTTTCAACTGTAGGGTATCGGTGGTACCTAAAATGGCATTGTGAAGATCATAGACGCATCTCCTCCGATAATAGAAGCAGACGAATACCACAATTGGCAGCAACACTGCATATAGCTGCAAGCAAGCAAAAGAGCGATGTCCCCAATCGTTATCACCAATTCATGTAGCCATGAACCTATTCACATACTCCCTTTTACTATAAACCAACAACACAACACATTACATTTTGGTGCTAAAAAAGTAGAGACTTCGTTGCGAAAGGGGAAGGAAGCTTACCGGGACGGACCAAGTAGGGACTGTGTTGTCCTTAAACGGGTATCTGAGGTCCTCCATCATGTCCTTCCCGACGAAGCGATAGAAGGGATGGATGATAAACAAGATGACTTCCATCACACCAAGCACCACCAAGATGAGCCAATCGTATTTGTGGTTCTTAGCAACTCTGCCTCCATGGCTCTTGATTGTGTGGGCTCCAAGATCAACCTCCCTCATCCTTCTCCCCTGCTGCTGCTCTCCCTGCTCCTGATTCTGGGTTTTTTACCAACACTAAAAGCAATCAAAATTGGAACATTGACAAAATAGGCTTTGGTGAATTTCGTCAGTGAATAGTAACAGGATCTGAATGTTGCCCTTTTCCTACTCAAAAGTGTACCAAAATTATCTATGCAGCATTAGCGACGTGGCCGTGATTAAGATAAAACAAGGGAAGTAAGTGGGTGGGACTCTGGAGGGCTTAGTAAGTAGCTTTCTTTGCCCAACAAAAAGCGACGGAACAGCCACTACTGATTTAACTTCACTAATGACCAAGTAATGTCATATCTTTGAATAAACTCAACCTCCATCCACACAACCACCAAGCAACACCAAAAACCGAGATTCCTGACTACCAAAAGGGTTTCAGCCGACAGTTCTATAAAATCCACGAATACACCGTACCAGAGCACTAATCATGTTAACTGACCTGAAAGATGCCACGGAGTCTCTGAAACGAGAAGATGGAACCTAAACCCATCTCCGGCTTGTGAATAATTGAAGTGGGGTTTTCCTTTGTTTCCTCTTTTTCCGTACACCCAGAAGGGGAGGGAATTATCGGAATCCTTCGGAGCGAGAGAAAGCACAAATGGGCGGAGAAAAGGAGATGAGCAGAGAATCCTCCTTTAACGATGAAGAAAGAAAAAAGACGAACCGCTTCCTTCGACTGGTCCGGTACTACAGCGGTTGGAAATTTCAAAATTACGCCGGGACCCACTAACTCCGATTATTTTTTTATCGCTGCCCTTTCTTTCTTTCTTTCCCCCAAATTCTTTCTTTCTTTTTTGGGGTTTTCCTGCGACGGCGGGAGCGGTGGACGTAGCAGCAGTTTCTCGGCCGGCGACGGCGGTTAAGAAGGAGGCGGAAGAGATCGGCGGAAATTGAAATGGAATTTTGCGGAAAGGGGATACGTGAAGGTCAGGGGGACGAGTGGGATGGTGTTTTTGTAGTTTGGCGCGGGGTGGGTTTATAGATCCGACCTGGCGGTTAGTGGAAGCTGCCACGTAGGAAAGGTCGTATTTGGGGGAAATGGTGTAAACCGTGTTCGGGTTTGTTGACCGGTTCAGGATCCCCCCCGCCTGGCGTTGTTGTGTTGACCTTGATTTTTCTAATCGGGTTGTCTTCTTCTCCGGTTGGTTTGGTTTGGTTGGCTTCCAGAATCCACCTAAGAGATGACATATGAAGTCAAGGAATAAGGATGCCATACATATATAGGCTCTCTTCCAACAGGTCGAGCAGTTATTGAGACCGAGACGAGTTGGTTTATGACGAGAAGAGAAAGATAATATGAGAAGTAGTTTGGGTCCAAAATTCATGATCAATTCTCACCTAAAGGGGTGGAACTTTCAAGTATGTGAGTGTGAGGTCTACGGATTTGGAGCCTTAAGCCAGTATCGAATTTCACTGTATGAAATGGTTGCATTACGGTTAAAGTACATCTTCAACACAAAAATATCAAGAATTGCGAAATCGTACCGCAAATTATATAAAAAAGTTAGTGATAGAATAAATTGTACTAAAATCGAGATTTAATCATTTTTTATTACTAAAATCACATATCGATTTAAAATCTGATGCTAATATTTTTGGTTCAACAGAATACAGTATAATTTAAAAATATCCTACCACTTTTTTATAGGAATTTGTGAGAAATCTAGTATTGGAGGATACATTTTCTAGTTATAACTGGTCAACTAAGAAAATAGGCGGTTTATCAAACTAGACAATACATTTATTTCATCTCTTATCCAAGTGAGCCATAAATCATAATATGAGCAGCATTGTTCCCATCACAGACACCTGCTGTTAGGGGTGGAAATTGGGGTGGCGTGATTACCCCCTCCACATTTTGTGGGTACCCACATCCACAAATTTATAATTATGTTACCCACAACACGCACCACAGTGGTTAGTGGGTAACCACTACCCACTGTGAGTTTGTGCAGGTTGGGTGTGGTTACCCGAAAAAATCCCATCTTTGCAAGCAGAGAGTTTTAGTCACCACTAATGTATTTGTTGTTTGTAACTAGACTATGATAATATAAACTTGTGTTGTTCGTGGAGATACAGTTTTGTACATCGATCTTACTCAACGTGGAGGTTTTTTCTTTTTGAGTTTGGTATTCAACTTTTTTGTCAGAGAGCTGTGATTTCATATTTCGACTAGGGGTGAAATATGACAATTAAATATGATATTGTATTTTTTTCATACAAAAGCAAAAACATACTGATAAAAGTTACAAAAGGTGTTCACTTTTAATGAATTGATTAGGTGTGTCTTTTTTATTTGGTGGCTACTTTAATTTTTATCCTCACACTTTTCACATACTATTATATTATAAAGTTAATTCACTAAATAAATATAATTAGTGTGGTTATTGTGGATTTTGTGGGTTAACCGCGGTGGATAGTGGATAACCACAAAAATCATTATTTTACTACCCACACCCAATCCACTATCCACAACTTATGGGTATGGTTACCCACAATAGATGCGGGTTGGTGCCGTTTGCGGATTATCCACAACCCGCGGATGGCAATGGGTCGGGTTGGGTCGGTTTTTGCCAAACCCAAACCCAAACCCATGGGTTTATCTTTGAAAAAAACCCGGGGTAAAACCCACTGGGTTTGAAAAACTCAAACCCAACCCAACCCGTTGGGTATCCGCAGGTTCATGGGTACTAGGGGTGGGCATGCGGTTCGGTTTTACCGAACCGAACCGAACCGAGCAAGAACCGACCGAAACCGAACTTTACCTTGTTAGGTTCGGCGTTCGGATGAGAAATGCCAACAATTCGGGAACCAACTTCGTTTAAACCGAACCGAAAAACCGAAAAACCGACCGAATTACCGAAATTAAAAGCCCCAACCCAATGACCCATTAACCCAACCCTTTTCAGACTTCAGCAGGCCAGGCCTACTACCCACCCAACCCAAGCCCAACCTCCTTGCCCCAAGCCCCTAAGTAAAGCCCAATTACAAGCCCACAATTGAGAAAACCCTAAGGATTGGTTGGTTCCACTTCCACTTCCACGTTTTTGATTCTTTGTCTCTGAGACTGAGAGGGCGAGAGACGAGAGTGAGACGACCCTGCCGCCGCTGTGCCGACCGACGCCCGACCCACCACCAGCTTCCTCCACTCGAACTCAAAGCAGCAGCCGCCGCAGCCGCCAGCAAGCGCCTCTCCCCGACGGCGTTTCGCCGTTTCCCCGACGGCGCCCCAACCCAAGGCCTCTCCCTCCTCGAGACCTCGACTCTCGACAGTCAGCTTCCTCCATCTCTCTCTCCCAGAATCACTCCACTCGCCAGCGACCAGCGCCACTCGCCAGTGAGACCGACACCGACCAGCGCCACTCCACTCGCCGGCCGCCGCCTCCCTCTCACAGACGGCAGACCTCTCCCGCTGACACAGCCACCACTCGCGAGTCGCGCCTCCTAGTCCGGCAGTCCCACACTCCAAATTCGAAGGCCAGGAAGATGACGACCAGTCGAAGGCCAAAGAAAAACACCGGCAGCCGCAGCTCCACCAACACCGACGCCGACGGTAAACAGAATCCGAACGAGCAAGTGGACGTCCATGTCTTGGTAGGTTGTTGACTGTCGAGAATGATCCCCCTATCTCTATACTAGTGCGTGGTTGAAAATGGGTGGGAACATGATTCATTTTACTCAAAGATGTTAGGTTTGAATTTGATGTCAGGACATAGCTGATTTGTTGAATTAAGGCATAATGGTTTGTGTATGTTGCTTAATGTCTATGTCTAATGCTTGTTTTTAAGGCATAATGGTTTGTATGTTGCTTAATGTCTATGTCTTGCTTGTTTTTATTGGACAATCAGCCGAGGAGGATTTGCTTAATGGCTAATTCTTGTTTTTATTGATGGTGCTATAGGAAGATGATTCAACAGCCGGTGATCCTCCCGTGGATGAAGCCGAAGCTCCTGCTGTCCGCTCCGGCTCTACTACCAAAAAACCTCTTAAACCGAAAAGAAAGGAGATGAAGTCAAGAGCTGTATGTTGGACTCAATTTACAAAATTCTTGGCCCCGGATGGATACAAAATGTCAAGGTGTATGAAGTGTGGGAAGGAGTATGAGGCCGATCCATTTCTTAATGGTACCAATGCCATGCATGTTCATATGCGAAAGGGTTGTGGTGAAAAGAAAGGTACTACTCAACAACTCTTGAACTTAGGGAAAATTGGGGTAGAAGGTGAAGGTACTTTAACAAACTGGAAGTTTAATCAAGAAGCTACTAGAAAGGGGTTAGCTTACATGCTCATTGTTGATGAAAAACCATTCAAGTTTGTTGATGGGATGGGTTTTAAGTACTTCATGTCACTATGCTGCCCTATGTTCAACATTCCTTCTAGGAGAACAATCACTAGGGATTGCTTTGCCTTCTATAGTGAAATGAAAGACAAGTTGAAAAAGTATTTTCAAAGTGCTGAAGGGAGAATTTGTTTGACTACTGATGCATGGACTTCGAATAAGCAAGATAGCTTTATGTGCATAACTGCCCACTTTATTGATCAAGATTGGAATTTGAGAAAGAAGATCATCAATTTTGGGGAACTTAAAGGTCATAAAGGGGTAGATATTGCTGATGGTATTATTGCTTGTTTGGATGATTGGGGGATTGAGAAGGTTTTCACAATTACTGTGGATAATGCTAGCTCTAATGATACAGCTGTGGCAAAATTGAAGGAAGTTTTCAATACTAGGGGGACTAGTATTTGTGATAGTGAATTCCTTCACATGAGATGTGTAGCTCACATTTTAAATCTGGTTGTGTCTGATGGGCTTGGAGATATTTCCTTGTCGGTGAAGAGAATTAGAGAAGCAGTTAGGTTTATTAGAAATTCACCAGAAAGGTTGAAAAAATTTCATGAGTTTGCTACTGTTCAAAAGGTAGAGGGCAAACGTGGATTGTGTCTTGATGTTCCTACTAGATGGAACTCGACATTCTTGATGTTGCAGGCTGCTGAGAGGGTTGAAAAGGTCTTCATGATGTTTGACATGTATGATGACCATTTTCGAAAGGATTTGGAAAGCAAGAAGGATAGACATGGCATAATTGGGGTCCCGGAGAAGGATGATTGGGAGAATGCAAGGAGAATGATGGGATTTCTTGGTCGGTTTTACGAATTCACCTTGAAGATCTCGGGCTCAAAATATACTACTTCTAACTTGTTCTTACAAGAAGTGCATTCCCTATATCATTTGATAACCAAGTGGGAGGCGGAAGTTGAGAAAGATCTCGACTTGAGTATCATGGCTAGCAAGATGAAGATGAAGTACGAGAAGTATTGGGGAGATGTGGATAAAATGAACAAGCTACTTTACATCTCCACTGTAATGGATCCGAGGTACAAGATGGGTTTTGTTGACTTTGCTTTGAAAAGGGTGTATCCTGAGGGTGGCAAGGGAGCACGTATGGCGGGGGATGTGAAGACCGCTACATTTGATCTATTTGCTCACTATGAACAGCTTTGGAAGTCAAAACAAAGCAAGAATGCCTCTACTTCTTTGGCCCCAATTGTGGAGGAGGGCGATGGGGACGAGCTTGATGTACTTGCTGAATACAAAAAGCATAGAGAGCAAATGGTAGGAGCGGTAAACAAATCCGAGCTTGAGAAATACCTTCGTGAGGACGACGAACCAATGGTGCTCAAGTTTGATGTACTTGGTTGGTGGAAGGTTAACAGCTTGAGGTTTCCAGCCCTTTCCATGATGGCTAAGGATGTTTTAGCGGTCCCAATCTCTACCGTTGCATCCGAATCTGCCTTTAGCGCTGGTGGGAGGATTCTAGATGATTTCAGAAGTTCGTTGACTCCTAAGATAGTGGAGGCCTTAATTTGTAGCTCGGATTGGATTCGAGGTGATTCTGCACCACAATCAGTCGAGGAGGATCCAGAAGAGGTTGAGAAAATAGATGAAGGTAAAGTCTTAAATCTAGCATTACATATTTATTACATGATTAATTTGTATGTCATGACTAATTTTGAGTCTTTTTAATCTTGCAGAATTGGACAAGTTGATGAATGCAATCTCCATAAGAGATAATCTTGTTTCATCTACCTCGACTTCCAACGTACCAAGTTCAAGTGGAAGGAGGAACGATGGTAGTGCATCTAGTAGTGCTTGTGGTGAAAATTCCGATGTTTCTATGCACGATTGATGACTTTAGAGGTAAGAAGTTGAGATTTTATTCTATTCTACTTGATTATTTGTAATTAGCTTTATACATATTAGTCACTAACCATCATTGTTTTGTTTCATGTTCCTTGTACTATTTTTGATTTCAAAGGTCTCAATTGTCCAAGAGTGAAGAGCTAAGAAACAAGATCTTTGGAGTTTCTACAAGTTATGATTGGAATTTAGACATTGGTTATTTGGTTACCTTTCTCATGTTAGTTTGAATTTAAAACCATTTGTATTGTAATGACTATTTGGAAGGACTTGATGTATTGTGTTTGTGTTGAATATTTGGAAGGTGGACATTGATTATCTTTCAACTTTGAATGCTTGTTTTAATTAATTGTATTTGATCTATAAAATTTAAATGTTAGGTGATAAACAACTTAAATGAGACACAAAAATACAGCAACCATATTGTCCAAAAGGCAGCAGAACAGAAGCACCAAAATTGGGGGAAAAACTCAGCAGATCCCCAACAGGTATTTCGGTTATGCCTGGGAAAACCGAACCGAACCGATCTATAATTCGGTTCGGTCGAACCGAACCGAATTATAGACCGGTTCGAATTCGGTTGTGGTGTGTGTCTTTTCGGAAATTCGGCATACCCTATTTCGGTTCGGTTCAAACCGAACCGACCGAACGCCCACCCTAATGGGTACCCACGGGTTTTGTCGTAAAAAATTTACAATTACAAGTTCTTATCAAAATTAAAGTCAAATATCAATCTCTCAATACAAATTATTCATATATAAAACATCATTCTAGAAAATTCAAGCAAATCACAAATTAACTATACAAATTATTCAACACCAATATAGAAAACTCAAGAAAATTGAAGCAAATCACAAATTATCCATAACTAACATGTTTAATTGAAAGCTTCTTTCTTTCAATTAAGTTTCTTTACTCTCCACTCCATAACATCAACTTCATTCTACACAATTAAAAAGAAAAAATTAGACATGTCTCCACAAATATAAATAAGATTAGTTGTTTAGATTATTAAATATACCGAAAAAATTAATTATATGGATGGGCGGGTACCCACGGGCCGGGTTTACCTAAACCCAAACCCAACCCGGTAAATAGTGAACGGGTTTAAACCCAAACCCGGCCTAAAACCCGTCAACACGGATTTTACCCGCGTTGACCGGGTTGGGTCGGGTGGGTACCCGTAGGTTCGGGTTTTGTTGCCATCCCTACCGCAACCCAAACTTCCACCCCTACCTGCTGCCATGTTCCCATACCCAATCCATCAAATAATCGTCAAATGCTTTTGCAAATCACCCCTATCTCCGACTCGATCATCTCTGCGTCCTGGATTTTTTCATCAAGCCAAGCCTGTCAACTTCAAGAATGGGGTTCTGAAGTTGGTGTTGTTGGGCCATCTACATGCCAAACTCGGCAGCCCTAGCCTCTGCCGCTTCCACCTCCCATCGACTAGGTAATTTCTTTGATGATTCCTACCACTTACTTCTCCCATAAGTTAATGATGTTATTTATTTTTTTTAACGCATCTAAGCTTTCATTTACAACAACACGAGGTTGAGAAAGATCTTGACAATCATATAAGAGAAAACGCATAAAGGTCAGGATCTAAACTACAAAAACATAGTGGAAGCACAAAGGGAGGGAGTGCCCTCGACTGTCTAGGAAATTAGCAGTCAATACACATCTATTTCCTTCTCGATAGATGTGGGCGATGGAGACCACCCAATCTCTAGTGAATAACCCTTGGAACCGGTCCATGATGGCGACATTGTGACGATCAGTCCCATTAGTCCTCTAGAGAAGGAGGACTGCACATCTCGAATCGAGTTCCAGCCGAACTCAACGTCAACGGTAGCCCAGGTTCCAAGCCATCTGAAGACCTTCTATAGCGCCTCTCGTCTCTCATTGAAAATTTGGAATTGGGGCGTTCGGGAGAGAGGGAATGGGCTGCTCTGTTTCTTTTAGGCCCAAAAGGGGTCTATAGCGTAGAAAATAAGGACCAGCCCAATTAGGTATTCGTTGGTTCTTCCCCCCAGTAGCCAGTAAGCGCCGCTCCCCGGAAGGAGAAACAGAGCAACCGAACGACCAAAGACAGCGGGAGGGAGAATGGCGGAGATTGGAACGGAAGCACAACAAGCAGCAGAAACGGCGCCGGTAGTCGTGAGGATCTTCGTCGGTGGGCTAGGGGAGCGGGTCTCCGACGATGACCTGCAGCAGATATTCTCGTCAAGGGGATTAGGGAAGGTTGAAACGGTTGAAATCATCCGAACCAAAGGCCGGAGCTTTGCCTATATCGACTTCTTCCCCTCGGCCGATAACTCCATCTCCAAGCTCTTCTCTACTGTAATCTTCCTCTGTTTTCTTCAATTCCCCCGTTTCTCATTCCACTTTTGTTATGAATGGTCAATTTAACTTCCAATTGCATTTGATTCGGTTTGGTTTGCAGTACAATGGTTGTGCGTGGAAGGGCGGCAAGCTGCGGCTGGAGAAGGCCAAAGAGGATTACCTTGCTCGCCTGAAGAAGGAATGGGCTGAAGATGCTGCTAAGCTTGAGACTCTATCTTCTGACGATGACAAGAAAGTGGAGCCTCCTCCACTGCCGACTAAGGAGGACTTACATGATGAGAAGATGAGCTTTTTCTTTCCCAGATTAGGAAAGGTACTGAGTTCCTCGTTTCGTAAGGATTTCGACTTTCCGCTGTTTTTGATTGAATGCTTAGTTTCCTCAGCTGTTTTTCTGTTGTGGGTCTATTCTGGCAGGTGAAAGCAATCCCACTCACTGGAAGTGGGAAGCACAAGTACAGTTTCAGGCGTGTGGAAGTTCCTCCTCTTCCTACATATTTCTGCGACTGCGAAGAGCATGGTGGTAATGCTGAGCCTGTCAAGAGGAAACAGATTCTTGGTCTGAGTGAGCGAGATGATGGGTTGAATGAGCAAGAAATTAACTTGATGAACTCGGTTATGAATAAGCTGCTTCAGAGAGAGGCTGTCCCAAAGCCTGCGGGAAGTGGTGGTATGGATATCGAAATAGCCGAGGAGAAAGGCGAGCAGAAGGAAGCAGCCGCGGAGGCAGATGGTTCTGCTGGTGAATTTGATGACCAGCAAGTTGATGAGGACAGTGCAGAAGACGAGGATAACATCATAATCAACATTGTGGGCAAAAAAGGGAAACCTCTATTGGGTAGTCAGGTAGGTGATGCTTGGATATTGTACTTCCTGTTGTCTTTTTTTGGAAGCTATGGAGCTGATGATTAAAATTCACTTGTGTTTTTTTTTTGCTTCAATTCTTAGGAAGCAAAACTTGACTGGAGACAGGATTCAAATGTTTCTCACTCTGGCAACGAGCTCAAACAGCATGGAAGCGATTCCGCATATCCTAAAAAGGAGACGAAATCATCATTCCTTAATGGAGATAGCCATTTGAGTGAATCCTCGTCTAGGAGTCGCTTGAAAGAGTTGGACATCTCCTTAGGAGCTCCAAGTACTGAAAAAGGAAAAGGTGTCAAACACTCAACTCCAAGTGTTTCAGGAAAGAGGAAGTCATCATGGAAAGAACTTGTAGGCCAGGGGAGCAGTAGCACATTTAGTATTTCTGAAGTATTGACAACTGTAGGTTCCAGCAAGAAGAAAGCCAGAAAATCAGACAATTTGTCCAAGTTTAGTGCAGTTGAGAAGAACCCTTTGGGCGACGAAAAGAGCGAAGAATCGGATGAAGCAGAACATGCAGGTAATGGAAGTAGTAAACAATTTAGTATCTCTGAAGTTTTGGCAGGTGCAGATTCCAGCAATAAGGAGATGTTGTTGAGAGATGAACAGAGTGAAGGGAAATTAAGTGAAACAGAACTTACGGACAATGATGGCTCTGGTTCATTCAATGTATCGGAAGTACAGACAAGTACTGAGTTCAATGAGGAAGAAAAATCTGATGATATGACTGAAAACAGTCCTGGAAGTAATAAAGAACTGACAAGCGATGAAAAGAGCCAATTGAGTGAGAAAGAAATTGTAAAAAGTCCGGCAGATGTTAAGGATACCAAACAAACCTCCACTTCAGATAAGTCGGGCAGGGGTTCAGCATGGCTTCATAAGTCCTCATGGACACAGTTGGTCAGTGGGAGTAATGGCAGTTTATTTAGAATCTCTGAAATCTTGCCTGGTGGGTCTACTGGTAAACAAACACCATCTGTCGCCGATGCTGTGAAACCTGCTAGCTCCACAGGTGATCAACATGATGACAAACTGGACCTTGTTGAAATCAGTGAACCTGTGAAGGATTTGGTCGGCAGTATAGAGAGAGATGTAGAAGGGTCCGATGAAGCTAGTCAGCAGAATGTTGCAAACAAGAATGAAGGGTCTAGTTCAACTGCTGAAAAGGAGCCGACTTTAGCAGCAACGAAGCTAGTGATTGGGGAAACTTGCTCATTTATGAGAAGTGCTGCATCTTTAAAAGAGTGGCAAAAGGCGAAAGCAGCTCTCAAGGGATCTGGCAAAAGAAAGAGGCAGTAAAAAGTCTGATCTAATGCATGTGTCTTTGCCCTTAATTTTGGTAGCATACAGTTGTTATATTTCAACTTTTGGAATTGTTTTACTACTGGCAATCTGTATTGCTGTGTGCTTGGTGTAATATTGTTGTTCCATTCTGTCTTCCTATGTGAGAATGGTTCGCACCCTACCATAATGTAATGACCAAATTAAGCAACAATCCTCATTTCTGGATGAAGTGGTCTCTCTCCCTATGGTCTTTAACTTTGGCAATTCATGAATGACCAAATTTTAAAGATTGCTTTGAAGGTACATCTGGCTCCTCCATTGTTTTGGTGCTGGGAGACAGATCTATTTTCTTGTGTACTTTTGATAAAAGTTTGTGTCTTGTTGCAGTAGATCAGGAGTAACTCAAGCTGGACGGTTCCCAGGTTTCTGACAACTTATAAGTGTCTTAATTTAGCAATTATAAAGCACAGGTACACTCGGCAATGAATCTGAATTGTAGGACACTAACAATCTTTCACATGTAGCAGTTATTTCAAAATCGATCAATTCATATGATAGATTGAACAGCAAAGGCTGCAATACTGCACACAATTTACATCCGACTTCAGTAAGTAAAATCACTCTTCTACCCTCCCCGGATATCATCTAGGATTGTTCTCTCTCTTCTCGAACCCGCTTGTGGCTCCTCGAATCTTCAGTTCTGGTAGTATCAGTTTCCTGATTACTCGATATTTGAGATGAGCTCTGACTTCTAACATTTGTTGCCTTTGCAGAAGAGGAGTCATCAGCAAATGGGGTAGATCCTGACAGCTCTACTTGTGATGAGGAAGGAGAATCAAGGCTGGGATTCGACTTCTGTTGTTTTTCCAGTAACTTCTTCAGGAATTCTGCGTTCTCCTCTATGCGCAACTGAAGGAGCTTTTGTGCCTTGTCAAAACAAATTGACAACAGAACGCATGTGTTAAAAGATAAAAGAAATCCTAGTAACCAGTTGCTCAGAAAGCAAGTGTAATGTGTACCTTAAGTTGGTCGTACAGCAGTTTCTGGACATCGATCTGCATTTGTAGAGCTGTTGTGACAACCATGTCTCTGCAAGTGGAACATTTCATCAGCGATCTTCTCACTAGTCAGCGAGAAAGAAAAGAAGATTGTTCTGCTACATCACCTATTCACATTTCCATCAGAATCACTGTTGGACGAAGCTGTTTTCTTTTCCACAGGGCTAGGCAGCTTTTTCTCTGGACAGTAACAAGTCGAAGCACATTGGTACTTGAAAGTAAGTTGGTTAATTATTGCTAGATATCACAAAGATATGCCACTTGAAAATTTTGGCAGTCCTACGATTTGATTTCACAGAAGCTTCTTTGGAAGACTTGAGTTTTGAAGCAAGAGTATTAAACTATGTATCAAAAGTTGTTATTTTAGAAGGAATTAACTTAAATAAGAGAACTTGAAACAGTGATTAAACCATTGGTTTGCCCTTCAAAGATTCAGTCTTTTAATTAATGTTGGAGCTGGATGTATATCTATTCATTTGGGTGTGGGGAAGGGGGACTGGGTATAGTAGGTTGCTGGTCTTACGGCAGCTGATATGGAAGGCTCTATTATTCATTTACTGTTGATCAGCCTTCCTAATGGAATATCTGTTAAGCTGATGAAGCTTCTACACCAGAAGACAAATGTAAAATTCACTGTTACTATACTGAACATTCTTCCAGTGGTCAGAAGCTTAGTCGAGATTACTATGCTGCCACCACCTATTCAGTCTGAATTAGATGATTGAATACCCATTTAAAAGGCCATCTCTGGCTGCGCTATACTGTTTTATATGAAAGATAATTTACCTTGTGTCTGGAGCCGGTACTTCTGCAAATTGTATTTCCAAGGAACTAGTTAGAACTCAGGAAAACATGACCAGAAAACTGAAGTCGAGCTGTAGCTTGTTTGTTTAGTTACCTGTAAATGACTCTTGACGTGGTAGATGTTTAAGCCCTTGACATTCATAATCGACATTATGCGCTTTGGAGTCGCAACTACATCGACAGTGGGTTGAAATTGTTACTGCAGAAGTTCAGTGAAATTCTATTGCCTTGTTGCTTATTAGTTATTACATAAATCTAATATCATATATGTTGGTGCTCACTTTCAGGGCCTCCGAGGATTCTAACTGCTCCAAGGAAAAGGTCATGGAGCTCCGTCGTCCACCTGATTCTCTGCTTATGATAACCTGCAGCCTCTGAATGATGATGGCTAGATCCAGGCAAGTAAGCATCTGTAGTCCTGTACTTTTTACTGTACAATTCAACAACAGGTACCCTTGGATTGCGAGGCAGAGGTTCATAAATACCCTGCTCTTGCAAAGGAAAAGTTCATAATTGATCACGATGTTACCTTATTTTGATAACTCTACAATTATATTACACTTGACTTCACAACAAAATGCATGAATGTGTCTCGAATCATTTACACTTCACCCGTATCATACGCGTTTCATATAAAACTTGTTAGGTGTACTTCCATAAATTTATTCAATGGCCGTGGACAAATTAATAAGTAGAAATTCACGAAACAATTGGAATTTTTTTTTATTAGGTTAAATTGATAAATTTTGAAGTTAGAATGAACAAAGCAGACCAGTAGAGTAGTAAGCATGATAAACCCTCATTTTTGTGATCTATACCATCATTTATTTGCCTAAAACTTGGCAGACTCACCTCAAGAGCTGGACTTCCATAATGATGATCATCATCGTCGTCATCATCGAGAGGGATATCAAGCTCTTTGGACAAATATCCCATCGTCTCCTTCAATGTCATTATACTATCTCTACCCTGATGCGATCGATGAAAGCTGCTGTTTTGGCTAGGGTTTTCTTCTGCTATGTCAAGGAAATCTGTCAAGTCTTCCATGCTCGTCATGCCTTGATCATCAAGAATGAATGGAGATTTCCTAGAGTTGGCTTGATGATGATGATGATGATCAGCTAGAGGATGATAATGACGATGATGATGATGATGAGGAGGAGGTGGTGGAACGATTTCAAGTCGTGGATCCATTCCCGGGTCAGTTGAAGAATTTGAGTGCAAGTTTGTGCAGAACATAGTGCTGTTTGGTGCTGCTCCATGTGACAGATGGTTCAAATTCTGTCTCTGTGGTTCCATAACTGGCGGCGATACCTGGAAGGGGAAACCCGGCGGTTCCTTCTGCGAATTCGGCTGGAAGGCATGACGAGCAGGGTCATTGGTGCAGCAACTCGGCATCAGTCAGTTGAATTCTCCAACAACCTTCCTCGGCGAAAGCAGCTTTTTCTGGAACGCAAACTACTGTCAGTAATATGAGGAACAAGGGGAAGAAGAGCTCTTATCAGAGTTTGTACTTAAAAGCTTCCCAAGTGGTAGCAGAACCAAAGATGTTACCTTTGAGGTAGCTTGGCAATGGAGGGAGGAAGGGTAGTCTATTTTCTGTATGATAACGAAGGGTAGAAAGCCTTGTTCACGCGATTTGTCGCCATCAAAACCTCAAGTTATATGGATTGGCCTGAAACAGGGGAGCCAGGGCTTACTGCCTTACTCCATTGTTTCTTCCTTGCATTTCGTTTTCTCTCTTGTCGCCATGCTTTTGTCCCCTGACACTGTTGTTTCCAATGCAGTTTTTTTTTTCATGAAGTTTAAAAAAATACATTTCAGGAAAGATACATACAGATACAGGGCGGATACGCCTACATCAATATCCACATATGTCTCGCTGAGTGTGGTTCAGGTTGGGCTGGTGGACAACGCCAGGGAATATGAATCCATTCTTGCATGCGATTAGATCAACATATACAGAACATCTTAATTTTATACCAAGGTTCACAGCTCAGATCATAACGATATCATTAACGAGTCGAAAACAAGAAAGCAGTGCGAATTATGACGAAATGCAGGTAAGAGACCCACATCCTTGTATTACACTGCTCGCAATGCAGTAATACTCGCGCAGAGACGAGGTGGATCAGGGCACATCCAGGTGGTATTCTAATATAAGGCCAAATTTTACCATTTCGTGAATTTGTTGTCGAGCTGTTATTATTCGCCGCTAAATGCCAGTAATTTACAATGAGAACTCTGTTTTTTTTTTTAAACCCCAGCACGTACACAAGTTGTTTAACGCTGGGCGAACAAGACGCCTGCTTCAATGATTTGTCTCGAAGCCAAGCTGTGAAGGATCAGGTCGGTACCTTTCGGTTCAGTGGCGGGCGGCAGGATTCTGTTTATATTAAGTGGAAAAAAGAAGCTGCCTCTTGGAATCCATCGTCGTCGAGGCCATAAAGAAAACAGGGCAACTAAAAATGTGGTTTAGTTTAGACATCTTTGTGAAGTTGGAGGGAAAAAAGAGGTTGACTAGAGGCCAGAAGGTATCACAGCAAAGCTCAAAGAATGGTTTGTTTGGCGGAATTGATCAGATACGGGTGGGAATGGGATCGGCAAATGTTTGGCATGCAATGACAAAAAAAAAAAAAACGCTGCTGTCAAATGTCAATTCCGAAGGTGTTTGATGAGAACAAGAAAGAATCCATTTTTGCACTCTCAGTCTACTTACCTTATCTTTTGGAAAGCTCAGGAGTCCTGGACCGGAGTAGTTAGAAATAAACTTCAATCAGAACTCAGAAAGGATGGCCTTTGACTGCCATTCCGACGACCAGCTGCAACCGTCTGCAGAAAGTCGAAGCTGGGTATAGTATGGAGAAGGCTATAGTTGCCACCATCAATACTCGGCATAATGTTACAGCACATTCACACAGATGATGTGCAAAGTGCAAACATTGCAAGATAGTGGCCTAGTAGCACCCCGCTCTCAAATGAAAGTTCAATCCTGAGAAGCGACTCTAGTTTGTCAGTTCTGGCCCCTCGGACTAACGTGGTAAAAGAAAGAAGTAGAGGCAATTCCAGAGAGCATATAACAAAAACAACACAGGATAATACTCTATTGTCCATTAACTGAAACAAAGAGAACACACACACGATCGAAGTTCATCAAAGCTCTTTCGGAGTCTCGTGGCCAAGGTGGTGTCCAAACAGTTTATCCCTTAACACGACTACTGCTATAAATAAGTCTATTGTGATCACCGTTGAAACAGGAGGGGAAATGAAGGATGGTCTCAGCATACAATCATACACTTCAGTCACAAATGTGACTCCTTGGGGGTGCTTTGCTCCCACTACCTATCCTTCAGCTCCTGCTCGAATTGGAGCAGTTTCTCCCGCACAGGCTCCAAAAATGACTTCAAGTCTTTGCTGATCCGTTGCTTATTCTGCTGCGACATGTCTTTTGTGTCGCTCAGCCGGACCTCGAACTGCAGTAGGATAAAGTATGGTGTATGAGCATACACAGAAATTTCAGCATATAAGAACAGAAAGAGTGATACTCATGTTAAAAGTTGAATTGTTTCTTAACAGCATTTTCAATGCATATGACTATGACACAAGATTTCATCTTCCATGACATTATCCAGGCAGCCTGCTCCTCTGGGCTGACATTCTTCATGTAACTGCCAAGCCGCCCATCCTAAATCTATCCAAGTATATAACAGTTTTGAATTCTAAAACATGAAAATTTAAAGCCTTGACCTGATGTCTGGTAGAGATTTAAAGGATGCATCTACCATGTACATATGAACTAGAGAATGGTTTCGTAGTTTGAATCATACATCGACAGGTGACTATCGATCCTGACAAAATGACTTGCCAGTTTACATTTTTCGGCACACTTATTGGATATCTAACCTCCAGCATATATTGAGATTGCTAGAAAACAAGGCATTTTGCAGCTACCTTAGCGGTAATCAAGTTGATAGAAGATTACTACACAATATGATAGCATTGGACCAGTGAATCGTTTAAGAACTAATAGAAAAACTATTGCTCACCTGCAAATCATCCAGCTCACCATAGGAGAATTCTGGGATATCAACGGATCCTCTTATTGTCTTTGTTTCCTCTTCGATAGTCCATTCTCCTGATTGGATGTCATCCAGTTAGGCTACATAATAAATCAAACGGAAGAAAATGGAAGGATACAATCTAAGAGAGCCTTCATTTACCTTTAATGTCTAAAGTTAATTCATAAGTATAGCCTACACGCTTCTTGTTCCTCACAGTAACCAAGAAAGCCTGTTCACAAAGAGAGATTTGACAGTAAAAATGAGCACCTTTCATTCGATTAGACCAGATTTCAAAAGACAGCTCAAAGCTAAACAGCCACTGGACGTAACCAGTTGCTAATAACAACGTCTAAGGAAATGGGGTAGAAAAGCGCAGAGAGCAATGAGCTGAATCTTTGCAGAAGCAGCTGAGTGGCAAATAATAAACTAAAACCTATCTTGAATCAATACCAACCAGCTTAATAGCACGCTAAACACAAGGGTACGTTGCTTCATCTGTAAACTAATAGATAGAGCAACTTACATCGCCTGAACATTTCGAAACTGCTTTTATTTCTGCTTTGCCACCAGTGAAGTCCAAGGTTCCCACTGATGTAAGTAGCTCCTGCAGAAAAAAAAAACTGTAAGAAATTACACATACTTCTCATGAAGTATTCTATGAGAAACAGCTATTGAGGATTCAATTGAGAGATACAGGACCAGAAACCAACATGCCCGTGTGTAATAAAGTACAGACCTTTATCCTGTCACTCGACCATTTATTAAGGTTCTTCTCCTCCCAGGTTCCTGCCTGCATCAAGCTTAAACCCAAACTGTTAGTAGCAGCAGAGAAATCATGATGGAAACCACCAAAGCACTTGCCTTTACTGTTTATGTCGTATCCTCAAGACATTCATTGGATGTTCTTACAGAAGTTTCTAAATGTTCAGGCTAAATGGGAATCTGCCCATAAAGGGATAACTAAAGCAGAGCAATTTCAGTCAAATTGAAATCCACTGATTCGCATATCCCTATCACAAATTCACAATCCAAATGCAGATTCCCTCAACCATTCCAAGCTCAAATTCGAAGTAATAGATCAGGGTGATAAAAGAGAAAAAGGTTTACCCGATTCCAGACAGAGCCGAGGGCGGTAGACTTGGGTTGAGAAGAGACGACGTCTTGAGCAGAGAGCTTCTTAGGAACAGGGACGGGAGTGGCATCCGCCGTGGCTTCCCTTACCCAATACCTATAGGAAGATCCTTGCTGCGTCTCCTCCTTCCTCGTCTCATCTCCATTCTCCATCTTCTCTTACTTCCTTTCCTTTATCGCCGGCCGGAGCGACAACCCAATGCCGATCTCAATGGCTAGATCGGAACCCAGAAAGGAAACAGAGGGGAAAGAATCGGGGATTCCTCGGAGGCAGGAATTTCAATCTGCAGGTTGGTTGAGAAACGAAGGGAAAGCGGAGACTCGGCGGCGGCGGCGTTGTTGGCTTAATTTGGTCGCATTCCCTACCCTGCCTCTTACTCCGACCATTGACCGGTTTTCTTTTCCAATTTATTAGAGGCGAACCACAAAAAATTAAAAGTATTTTCGAATAAGTAGGAAAACGGAAAAATAAATAAAAGAACACTGACGGCAGTCTTGGTTCCAGAACCTTCGGAGTTCGGAGGAAGTGCCCCTCCGCCTCCGCCTCCGCCTTCGCCTTCTTGAACGAAATCTCTCATTCTCCGGTCACGTTCGCCGACTGGTAACTGTTTTAATTATATCAAGTTGTGCCAACTCTATCATGGAAGAATGAAGATGGATGGGTAGAAGTAGAACATCTTGATTCTCATCAGTGGCGTAGCCAGGATTTCATTCAAGGTGGGTCCGACGTGAAAATAAAAATATATATGATAAATATAATTAATATTTACATGACCCACGATGTGTTTTTATAGTTTGTTGACCGATTTTCGTTTGAGGATGGAGAAATTTACCCTAAATTGTAAATTAAAAAACTAAGAATAAACCATTAGAGATGTAGTTTTATGTAAAAATCTAGAGTTAATTACATAATATGTAAGGTTAATATCTGCTATAAAGTTCTCTACAATATGTTAGTAGAAAAGTAGTGAACATGAGGGGTTTCGTACAAATACTGTTATTTTGTGTCTTAGGGGTCGTTTTAAAGTTGCGATTGTTTACGTGAGATTGTTACTTGTATTGTGAGATTGGATTTCGTATAAATACATATATTTAACAATCGCAACTTCCAAACAAGCACTTAATCTCGAGCCAAGGTGGGTCCGGGGACCCACCCTCTTCCAAGCTAGCTCCGCCACTGATTCTCATCAGCAGCACCAGCTTGTTGCACCACTTGGTTCAACGAAAACAATTTCATAACAATTCGTTACCACCTGGTTTTATATGGTACTACATTCCATTTAAACTCGAATTTTAAAAAAAATTATGTAGATGAGACATATAGTCATGATTTATTAAATCTACAAATTTTCGAGGAATTTTTTTCCAGAACAAAAAGTATTGTCTTGGTAGAGGGTGGTAACGAGTGGTATACGTTGATGAAATGTGGTATGTGACGGTTAATATATTTCTATTATCATGTGTGCAACCATTCTACACTATATTGTGTTCATACCACGTAGTGTAATCTTATGTACATACCAAACTGTACGACATAGTATGGACGGGACTGGTAATAAAAGTATGAGTTGTTTAACTTCTTTGTTACAAAATATATCAAAGCAAATGTCGAGCACGATTCATCTTATTTTTCCGTGCATCTTTTTCTTAATTACGACTTAAAACGAAAGAGATATAGTCCATTAAAATTTATTGGGAGGAAAATTAGCATAATTTAGCATCACTATAAGTTAAATGGTAAGTATAAATGACCAAATTAGGTATGGAAAAATTGTATTTATTAATTAACTTTTCACAGTTATGGATGATATCAGTCTGATTTTAAGTATAGAGTTATGAGTGGTTATGCTCTCATAACTTATGCATCGGAATCGCTCCCTTATTTTAAGAGGCAGTGATTCAGAAGCAGCGGATATGATGACCAAATTGGGTATGAAAAAATAATATATTTTAATTAATTTTTTACTAAAATTAAAAAAAAAAGTTACAAATACAATGCCAACTTCTCAATTCTTCTTCATCTCAATTATGAGATTGGCATTATAATGTTGCATAGACACTCCAAGACAATATAAATCATAACTGTTGGGCAATTAAACATGGCTTGGCCCAGCCCGAACCACAACTACAATCCATCAAGTATGTATGGGCCCAAACCCACAAAGTATCTTCATGATCCTACAACTAAAGCCCACATGAAGAAGGCAAGATTGGCCTATAAATACACTACCAAGCACTCCAAGTAAGGGGCTCCTTTCCTCCTCTTCTCACTTTAACATATTACTTCTCTCTCTACACTATCTCTCTCTACCCATATTCTCCATGTTCCTCTATCACTATGCTAATGTTGATCGTTGGAGTGTAGACAATGGGGGACATCCCCGCCCTTTCACAGATCCGGCGTTCCCATGTTTCGTGGCTGAAACAATTGGCGCGCCAGGAAGGGGCACGTCTTCTTAACAAGTGTGAGAAGAGGTGCCTTTGGTCAACGGACCAGGAGAGAAGCACCGTAGGAGCATCTGAGGCGCCTTGGGTAATGAAGAGCTTGGGTTTAATTATTGAAGAAGAAGAAAGCATGAGGGGGGATGATGAGACGTCCGGGAAGTAGAGTGCTTTAGATGAGAAAGGGGCGTGCGATGCGGGCGCCTTCAGGAAGCGATTAGAATGTCCTGAGTTGTGAATGTGGCTCAAGGCGCCTCGTTTAAAGAAGGGAGTAGGGGCACCCTGATTTGAGGGCAATGGGAGCACACGGGCATTTTCTTATCTCCCTCTTATCAAAAGAAAGAAGAGACAGTGAAGAGTACTTCCCATGGAAGCCCCAGGGAACACGGATCCAAAACAAGTGAGATGAGGCGGATCTGTGAAAAAAAAAAAAAAAAGAAAGAAAAGAAAGAGAGGAAAAGATGAGGCGTCACAGCTCGCCAGCTTCAAGGCGCCTCTGCAAGGGTTGTGTAGGCCCAACATGTTATCAAATCCTCCCAGCCCGTGTAGGCCCAAGCGCTTATGTCAGCCCACATTTCAAGCCCAGCGCCCAACAACAATACAGTTATCAAAATGATCAAGAGCAGAAGTCGAACCTGAGACCTCACATTGATGAGTTAGGCGCCTGAACCAGCAGACTACACGATGAGGTTATAGACAAACAAGGCGCCCAAGTGTACTAACCAGTATATAATCGGATCAAGCACATCAACACCAAAAGTCATGCTTCTGTACCACTAGGCCGCAACTCCAAGGTCGGCTTTGTAGCAAGCGCATGGTTAGCAAGAAGTTTTGAATTGACTTCTACACACTCTAAATCAAGCTAAGTACCCCATCTCTTTGTAAAATTTGATTTTTATCTCCATAGAACATTGATTTTGTTCCGAAATACTCTCTACGCTAAGATATAATGTTTTTGGTTTAAAATGCTCTCCGCGCTCAAATTTAGCGCATGTGATTTGCAATACTCTATGCGCCCAAATTTAGCGCCCGTGGTTGAAAATGCTCTCCGCGCCCAAATTTAGCGCATGTGATTTGCAATACTCTATGCGCCCAAATTTAGTGCCCGTGGTTGAAAATGCTCTCCGCGCCCAAATTTAGCGCCTGTGATTTGCAATACTCTATGCGCCCAAATTTAGCGCCCGTGGTTGAAAATGCTCTATGCGCCCAAATTTAGCGCCTGTGATTTGCAATACTCTATGCGCCTAAATATGACACTTTGGTTAGAAATACTCTGTGCGCCCAAATTTAGCGCCCGTGGTTGAACATGCTCTCTGTGCCCAAATTTAGCGCCTGTGATTTGCTTGAAAAGGTATACAACTGAAATAATAATCACTTATGGGAACACTTCTATCAGAGCGTTTATTATGTGAGCGCCCAACAGGTAAGCTCAAATAAGGCGCATGATTTGTGTGGGATAGTGATTGGGCACTAAGTGGACAAAATCATTAAAAATGCAAGGATTGCTTAGTGAGATTCCTATTTTAGGAAGCAGATAAAGCTTGTTTGATTCTTAAGCTTGCGTGAGGCTCATATGCTCGTGCAGGGTGCCCAAAATTGGCACCCGTGGTTTGAAATACTCTCAGCGCCTGATCATAGCGCCCATGGTTTGAAACTCTCCGCGCCCATGGTTTGAAATACATGTTGCTAAAGATGTGTTTCGATGCCTGCTTAAAAAGAAAAGGAGAAAGGGTGATGGAATACCACAACAAGACGGAAGAGGCGCCCTCAAGAATGATGGTCGTTTGTGCTGGGCGTCCATAAAAGGATGGTGATTCAAGCCTAAGTATTCGAAGATTCTTGAGGCGCATGGAGTTAAGCGCTCTTGCTAGATGCCTACTGATTTATGTCAAGAAAAATGGAAAGCAAGAATGAGGCGCATGTCATGGAATAAAGGAAGGTATATGGAAAATGAAAATAAAGCGAGGAAGCCCCACATTCTGGCCATGAGAAGTGTTTGTTGTCTCTAAGTGAGGTAGAAACAAGGGCAAGTATTTGGCAGGGGCGAATCTCTCTTTGTGAAGGCCCAGGTTTATGCAACTCTTCTTGGATTCAATGTACCCCATGCGCTCAAGCTGTTCACTACTCAATTCAGGGCAATGATTCCATATGTACAAGGCAGCGCATCGAGGAGTAAGCTAAGTATTTTCAATCCCTCCTTGGGTTAATTTCCTCACCACTGCATTACTCAAGTTCTAATGTACTGCAAAATATTTGTTACTCTTTCCGTTATTGAGCATTGGGGGACAACATATCAATTAATCTTGTGTGAAATTTGACAAGTCGGGAGACTTTAGTTAGTTGTCCAGTGGACCACTGGGCGCCTAACTGGGTGACTAAGTCTTTTCTATCTCTACTCAAGTTATATTCTTAGTTATTGTATGAATGAAATTATGTTGCATCATTTAGAATATTTGTGATCCTTTCTTTGTGTAACTAATACGGTAATAGGAGACATGAACTAGGGGACAAAACACTAAAGGATCTTAAATGAAATTTGACTAGTGTGAGGACTTTAGTTAGCCGTCCAGTGTACCACTGGGCGCCTAACTGGGGGACAGTTGGGGTAACATGTGCATGCGCATTCGAGATTTTTTCTAAGGCAAACAAATCTTTAATTATGTGCCGAAAAATGTCATAGCCTTGTTAGGCATCATATGTGCAGTAAATAGTTTTATCTCATTGCTTGAGTTATATCGTTAACTATGTTATGAGTCACATTATGTTACATTGATAATTCTCTACATAGTTTCTCTCGGAATTCCTAAGCTATTATGATCCTGGGGATAATTGGAGGGACAACATGCAACTTCAAAATCTTGTCTGGAGAAAATGAATCTCCAGTTAGGTGCATAGGGCGCCATAACCTTGTTAGACGTCGAAAGAGAAGCAAGTTTATGTGTAAGTTCTTATTTCGAGATTGTTCGACAAACATGATGTTGGGGGACATGAGTCAGCTAAGTCAGGAGCCAAGATGACGCTTAAACAATCAAGCGTGCAACTCTAAGTTCATAGTTAAGCTTGCAAGGCAAAGACTTCTAGTTAGGCATCCAGTATGCTACTGGATACCTAACTGGGGGACAATTGTTGGGCCATTAAACATGGCTTGGCCCAGCCCGAACCACAACTACAATCCATCAAGTATGTATGGGCCCAAACCCACAAAGTATCTTCATGATCCTACAACTAAAGCCCACATGAAGAAGGCAAGCTTGGCCTATAAATACACTACCAAGCACTCCAAGTAAGGGGCTCCTTTCCTCCTCTTCTCACTTTAACATATTACTTCTCTCTCTACACTATCTCTCTCTACCCATATTCTCCATGTTCCTCTATCACTATGCTAATGTTGATCGTTGGAGTGTAGACAATGGGGGACATCCCCGCCCTTTCACAGATCCGGCGTTCCCATGTTTCGTGGCTGAAACAATAACTGCAGCGGGATCTCCATGGAACTTAAACCACAATTGACATGTTTAAATGGTGACCCTTATTTTGCTGTATGCATATTTACTTTTATAGAGAAGTAAAACTAACACCTTTGATCAAAGGCATATTTAGATGGTGTAGACCACAACTCCACTTGATCAATCTACCTACATCTGGATTCATCATGAACCCAAATCTGGAGATCATCCTTCACAAGGTAAACTCTAAGGTAACATTTCATGAATGCGTATGTAAGAGTCCCTCTGTGCATATAAGTTTACATAAATACCAACTTATACACACACTATACATTGAACATTATGCTGCAACCCAAAAACAAGTACCAGGGTTCTGCAAATTTTGATACAATGTGCACCATTTTACTGCTGGGCAGCAGAATAAGTCGCTCATTTTTTTCAACCTGCCTATATTGTCTTTCCTTTCCTTTTCTCTTCTTGTGTATTATGTGTTCTAATATACAAAGACGAAGCTAGACACAGAGACAGGAATATGAAAGGAAGAGTTGGGAAGACAGGGGGGGAAATGAACTAAGTTTCATCTTGAATATCCTTTTTAGGATCTGACCCTACTGCTACAACATTGTCACTAAGTTCCTTCCCAGTTGTGTCAAATGGGAAGAAGATAATGCAACCCACTGATATTGCAATTACTATCTCAAACAGAATAATGGCTTCCTTTAGATGACAACTTGTCACTAGTGCAACTGCCACAAGTGGGCACAACATCCCTCCTATTCTTCCCACTGCATTCGATGCTCCCGCTCCAGTTGCCCTTACAGATGTTGGATACAACTGAAAACAAAACAAAAGGATTAGCCAGAGGTCTGCTGTTACTGAGATTTCAAGTTTGGTGCTTTATTAAACTAATTACCTCTGGTGCATAGACACAAGCAACAGTGAAGGATCCAAGTGCACACATTCGAGCTCCAAACAACAACCCTGTTGTGACCAAAGGAGCTTGCTGGCTTACCAATGGTATCAGGAACAGCCACGCCATGAAGAACATGACCGCCATGGAAATCTTGCGGCCAAATCGATCCACAATGAGTGCGGACAAAAGAAGCCCTGGAAGTTCTGCATGAAGAAGAATGAAAACAGCGACTTTAAAGAGACTTGAAAGATAAAAGAAACCACTTGTCAACATAAATTAGATAAATAAGCCACCTCACAAACAAAATTTTTATTCCAACTTTGACCTTTTTGAAAAATATAACCATTCTTGTAGTTATAATGCATAATGGTTTTTGCTGCTAAAACAAACACACCCTTAACGATTGGCTCACAGGACTCAGGAAAAGGGTCCTGAGATGGAACAACAAGAGGAAAAGAGAGAAATTACCAGCAAAGCTAGTGATGAGCACATCTATGTACAGGCTGTTACCATCATCGATCTGTCCTTCTGAGTGCAAGAGACTCATCCCGCATTTGCCTTCTCCATGACTTAGCTCAGAAGTCAGCAATATGATCCCATAATATGCAAATGTGTTTCCAAAGAAAATTATCCAAAGGAGTATTGTTGTCCTGAACAGCTTTGGAGAGAAAAGCATGAAGAATGATGAGAAGCTCGACTTGAATTCCTTCATCTGTTTCTTAGCAGCAGAGAGCAGTGGTTGGTGCTCTGAAGGAGCGGATTCTTCATCCACTTCAATCCGACCATTGGTGACAAGCGTGCCAGGTGGCAGTTTCGTGCGGTTTAGCAAAGACATCTTTTCAAGAATGTGGCGTGCCTCTATTGTTCTTCCCTTTAGGCATAGAAACCGAGGAGATTCTGGTGCAATTCCATAGAGGAGCAGTAGACAGAAAGATGGTATCACAGAAAATCCAAGCAGCCACCTCCAGTCTAGGTTTGGAAGCACGGCCTGCAACAGGTGCCACAAAAACATAAAGCATACCGAGTTAGCAAGACCCTTTTGAGACCAAAATACCAATAAATGAAGTGACATTTAGCTTACTTATCCAGACTAACCAATAGAGGAGTCACAGCTTCTAGCTTACTTTTCAAAAGGACACGTCTGAATTTGAAACTTAACCGAAAATATATTGCGACAGCAAAACCTAGTCACTTGTATGTTTGATTTTTTGTGTTTAGGACGTTACAAAAATTATTGAATTCTAAGGGTACCACTTTATTCACATAACTCGTGTTTGGATGTGAGAAATAATAGCTGATCATCTCAGTACTAGCAATAGCACCAAACTAAGTGTAATACAAGAGAATTCTTTATAATTTGACGTCTAGTTAATGTTACACCAATACATATAATATTCCAGGGATAAAGATGAAAATAGTATAGCTCACTGTCAAAAGATCACAGACAAGAGTGGTAATGAAGCAGTATAAGGTATCATAAGACCAAAGTTTTGAGAATGGAGATAGTATCTCTAACAGATAGGGAAGACGAGTGAAGAAGTAGATTTAATAAGAAATGAAGTTGGGAAATAAAAAGACGAACCCAAGCAAGCAAAGCTTCAAACACAGTTCCAACGGTCCAGAATGTCGTGAAGACAACCATCCACATGCCTCTATGTGAAGCAGGAACAAACTCAAGAAACCAGGACAAGAACACATGTCCACCTCCAAGGCCAAAACCGACCAAACCACGAAGAATCACCAACGATAGATAGTTTGGAGAGAAAGAACTTATCAACCCAGCTCCACTAGTTATCATTGTTATGCTAAAAAATCCTTTCCTGGAGGGCACATTTGAAATTCCACAACAGCATAAAAGCAATGTGGATAAAATAATAATCAGAATCATGAGGTTAGAGATCATACACAAGGGAAGCTAAAGCTTGGTGTTGTTAGCAGTTAACAAAACAAATATCTCATTAAACATACATATACAAGGAAGCAATAGCAAACACACTGGCTCTTGACAGAATTGCTGAGCACCAAACCTGGCATACCTCAAACCAAAGCGCGCATACACAGCCTATGTTAAAAATCAAACCCAAAAATGTCAAATATGAACAAACACAAAAACAGATAATCATTTCTCACCTTAATCCCCATTCAATAAGAACATAGATGCTTTCAACTTCAGGAATGAACATAAATATCCCTCAACCAAAAGGCCTCCTTGGAATGGGTAGCAATTACACACAATATGCCCCCAACTAATATATGATGAAATGGAAGGGGGGGAATGCAGTAGCAATTACGCACAAGAGATGCCACAAAGTTGGGGGGGAGCATTGAGGCTTACCTTCTACCACATTTATCTGAGATAATCCCCCATGTGTAAGCTCCAATCAGCATACCAGCAAACACAACAGTAGTCAGAAGGCTCTCCTGGTTAGCAGAGAGTCCCCACTCCAACTTCACCGCAGGACCAACGAAGGACAGGATCATGATCTCCATTGCCTCGGCAAACCAACCAAACCCAGCATAGAAAAGCACCAGGATTTGGAATTTCCCGAACCCAACCGACGCCAGGCCTTCATCTAGCGTGTACGATTGCCCTTCGTTCTCCATCTGTAAGGAGGCATTCAATAAAAGATCTCCGTCAGTAGATTTCCCCCGCGAAGGGAGCTCCACTTCCATCGCTGCCACACCACCAAACCCACCAATTCCCCACCCACATAAACCAACCAACAAAACGAACAAAATCCCCCCTCCGAGATCAAAAGCCACAGCCTTTTCGTTCAATTTTTTTTAATTCTGCAGGATTCCCAGTAAAATTGGAGTGCGGCTTAGATCTACAGACACGGCGGGTCCTCTTTCTTAATCGCCCCTTTGTTTGACAATGAAGACTCCAACGCGCAGAGAGAAAGAGGGAAAGCAAAATAAAAGTAAAAAATAATAAAACTAAATGGAAGAAAAGTCCATTTGAACTCTTTTTTCTTTTAAGGAACCGAAAAAACGAACAATTGGGTACCTCGAAAACCGGGGGAATTGTTGGTGGCGGTGGTGGTTGGCGGGACTCGTTGTTGTTCGTAGCTGTAATACAGTCCCCGTGGCCGGCGTCGCGGTGGTGCTGATCTTCGCCGTCGCCGTCGCCTTCTCCAACGTTGTTTCGGTTTGCTGGATGAACAGGATCATATAAACCCCAAAAATAATTAACAACAACGCAAAGCTGCTCTTTCCTATATAAATAGTTTTTTTTTTGTTTTTGTATTTGTTTCTCTTCTTCTTCCAATTCGGAGATGGAGAAGAAGAAGAAGAGCCGGAAAAGGGAGAGAGGAAAATGAATGAACGAAGGAGGTAACTGCTGAATTGCTGATCATTTATATAACAACAAACGTGGTCTGGTTTTTTGCCATGTTTTTTCTATTGCGCGCTTTCCACCTCCCTTGTAATTATTTTCTTGTCCTTTTTTTCCTCCTTTTATTTTTATTTTATCCAACCTAACTCCTAGCTAGGTGGCATCGCACTATTGGCTCTGTTCTTCCCGGATAATTTATATTCTATTCTTCCCTTTTTTGTTTTTTGGCTGGATTATTATTATTTTCTTATAATAATTTATAAATATTTTTTTTTGGACAAGATTGAGATATTATTTGTGATGTGAGTACGTGTCCTCTGATGAGAAAAAAGGAGCCATTTCCGGCACATTTATTTTCTGCCGTGTAAAATATTTTCTTCGTTGGAACGTGATGGTCCATGCATTCGTTCGTACGGGGAAGAAAAGAAGCAGTGAACCTAACCCAAAACCAAAACCAACACTTCCAAAATCACTACATCCAAAATTTTAACAACCTTTAGTGGTAAATGGTGATGGCCACCGGTAGCGGCGGAATCGAATTTGAACCGTGATAATTAGATAAGACGTAACAATATTTATACGAAAATGTTAAGGGTATAACATGTCTCTTCTAGCGTTATCACAATGGCTCATTATCGACTCTTTACAAATTACAATATTTAACTTGACCGATACTCAATCATATGTAGTAATCTCTACGATGTGGACAGCAGTAATTATTTTGACTGTATGTAATGATATGATGAACTTGCTAATCACCTACGTTAGTATTTGACTTTGCATTAAAAAAAAAAAACAAGCTTAGCGTCTTAATCTCCCGATGGTCCAATAATCAACCCGTGAGTAACTAAGCAACCTAATTAGATATTTTTCTAGCTAGCTTGCGAGTTGCGAATCCGGGTTTTTTTTTTCTTTTCTGATCCAACCGAATCAACAACAAGGAATCCATAGTCTTCCATGGAGGAAGCTACAAAGTAAACAGAAGATCTGAAATCTCTGCAATTTAATTACCATTTCCATGAGGAGCAGCCCTGCAAGCTTCACGATTCGGGTTTACACAGTGGGGAGCGATTTCCTGCAGATTTGGCAACACAAACTAAGACCAGAACATCAGCTCTCCAAAATGCTGCAACCATATGGCGTATAAATCACTTGCGGATTTCAAACCTGGATCTTCACAGTCGATTGGGCAGAGTGGTGGTGCTGGAGAAACAGAGATCGAATATTCGCCTTAGCTTGAAATTCCCGCTGATTCCTCCTCGACGTCGCTGTTTTCTGCAGATTGATTTTGGCTACTGCATGCCGCCCACAAACCGTTCGATGAATTTCCGCAGAGAAAGTAAAAGCAGTTTGGAGCGAAATTGAAATCGGAACCAGACATCGCGGGGAAGGAGACTGGTGCAATTACGATCGAGAGGTGGATTGAGGAAGCAAGGAGCGGAGGAGTTTTTATTTTTTTACCTGGAGATGGAGATGGGAAGGAGAGTAGCATGGCTGGTTCTCCAGCGACGAACTATTACCAGTCATCGCCGGATTAGCTTTTTTCCCCCGGCTGGGAGATACTTTTTTCGGTTGGATGGGAAATCACCGTTTGGCAAACGGCAAGTGGCTGTGGCCTAATGGGCCCAGGCCCAGGCCCCCTACAGTTGAAAGTGTGAAAGGTACTACGAAGCCCAGGCCCACCAAAAAGTCCGAATCACGTTTTCGTCCCCTCGTAAGTCTGCCATAACAATACTGTCGGCATAGTCATTGTGATGCAGAGAACCAGCATCCTGTGCATCCAAACATTGCAGGACAAATTTGTTATCGGAACCCTTCGTCAAACGTATGATCGACGGCATACAACTAGCATGCTTCGATAAGAAAACTCCCGTTGTTTCACGATGGGATTTTATGATCCTTTCGATAAGCAGACCACACGGTCGCAAAGGATGAACAGTAATAGAGCATCAAAGCTCACCATTGTCCAGGAATCGAGGAAACAGGATCTCTATTAGAAGCAAACGCCACAGACCATGGCAGCAACACAGTTGGCCTCAAGGACAGTTGAGTCGAGCACGATGCACCGATCGCCACTAGATAGGTCCATGTTCGTGGAAGTTGTAACTAGGGTATGTTATCACACTAAAATCCATTCTCTACAACGAAGCTATGCCCCGTCTCCCACAATGTTCAACGGAGAGTTTACATCGGTTGCTGTTTGACAGTCAGGTGGTTCTCAACAGGGTAGATATTACTCATGTATTATCTGCTGGTTATGATAACTTGATAAGGCTGCAAAAGTAAGGAGAGGGAATACCAAATTACATGATGGCAGAGGATCAAGTCAGAGACTACTACTGCTCACTACAATTCGCCTAATCTAAAACTGCAGAAGGCAGCAGGGTGGCGGGCTGGGTTGGATGGCGTCATTCATTCGTTCATTTGTTCATTCCAAGGTCTTAAGAAGCCTGAATAACCCAGCTGCTTCCCGAATCCGCGAAAAATCTATGCAAAACGCCTGCACTTCAATGAACAGGTCCTTCACTGCAGAAGAAGACCGTGTAGGTAAGTAGATGTCTGCAACCAAATACTTAATATACAAAACCACTGCAGCGATACAAATCAAAATCACTAACCATCAATGATTCTGTTTCGGATCAGACTCTGAAGGAAGACACAAACCAGCCTCACTAGTCTGTTCTGCATATACTTGTCCTGCAACAAGGAGGAAAATCGCCAAAGCATTGTTTATTAGTTTAATACCAGACTTCCAAAGTCGTTCCAACACAACCAGGGTAGGTTTATTCAGATACACTCTGACATCATAAACGCACTGGAAAATCTCTAATGTCAGAAATGGAAGCAAAGCACCTTTATGTTCTGACAGGAAGATATGCAGTTGGTTATGTACATGCGCACAAATTCCTTTGGAAGTTCAACTTGTGTTGTAAGCCTGTTGACCACCTCCATTGAGTGAAGACTCATGTCCATGTTCACAAGCACTGTAAAATAGCTGGAAGCCAAAGCCAAAGCAGAAGCAGATATATTACCATTTATCCTCGGTGCCAAACATAAAATATGCAAAAACGAAAATGACAACATACTCTGAAATTTCAGGTGAATTTATCAACTTTGTCAAAACTTCAACTGCAATGAGAGGATTGTTCTCCACCAACTCCTGAGCAAGAAGACAACATGGATCTTTTAGTTCAGACATAAAAAGACCTATTTGGAGATTGAAGTTAATTTGAACAGCTAGACAACATACAGGGAGCTTGCGTGGTGTGAGCCCACAGTGATACACGAGCTTTGGGTCGTTTGTCAATTCCACAAGGACTTGCTGCCAGAAGTTTAATGGATAAAACCACATAAATAAGGATGGAAAATGCATGGGAACAGGATCAATTAACAAAAAACATTCCTCTAGTATACCTCCTGTTGCGACGGAGCGAGAGGTCCCTTTAAGGCTTTTGCAATCAGGTCCCTTACAGCAGCTCCCCTGCTGGTATCAGCACACATCCCATGGTCCCATACAAGCTCATGGTTGTTGTCAGCATTGAGCCATACTAGCTGGAAGAACCTTATATAATCAGATTGACCAAAAACAAAATTTCAACTCAACCATTAGCTGGCAATTACCTCACTGTCATGCACCGGCATCAAGGGCGGGCAAGGCCTAATCCATTGAGGAGTTAAACCCTCCGGTGACAAGTTCACCAGTAATCCGGCTATAGTTTCAACCCGATCTCCAGATCCAACTTTTGGCTTGGCTCTAGGTTGCAGATCAAGCCTGTAAGAAAAAAAAGTTATTGTCCTATAACAAAGAAACCTGAATAGAAAGCCACAAACAGAAGAAATGTAGCCAGGGCAGATGCCAAGAATGCTGCCCAAAAACTAACCACAGAAAAAGGTAAACAATGAGCAATACCACATTAAACAACACACAATTTGAAGCACCATTACTGCTTTGCAAGTAACCTACTCTTGTAAATCTGCTTCACAGCCATTGGGTACATCAGGATCAGCAACTATATTCTTCACCGAAGTGCCTCTAATCAAGTTACTATTTGATTGTGGATGGACTTTATCACCATATTGATGCTCTAACTGTTCCCGTTGGGGTAAAACCTGAAGCCAAGCAAATATATACAATCAAAATATGAAAATAAGTATCAAGATTATTAATCTGACTGACAGTAACATGCAAGATATAACTTGCAGTCTGCACCAAACATACATTAACAGAAAACACTGCACAGGTTAACTGTATATGCAACTTACATGAGCTGAAGGATCAAAAGCTTTGATGTAACTTGCTGCAGAATGTCTCAGAAACTGCAAACTCGACAAAAGAGATTAGGCAAGAAATCACACACCTCTTTCCAGTAAACTTATTTCAGAGACATCGCAAAAGGATAACTCTAAAACAGAACCAGAATACAGAATTTGGAAAAAACATATAGATACATCACTAGCTCGTCATAGCAAAAGACTACTACTTTCATGCAGACCATTAAAGAGAGGGCATGTCAAGCTGCTAGTTTGGACTCACTAGTTAGAATCCTAGGTGACAAGAGTAAATCAGCAAACAACAAAGTAAAAGGCATTCGGCTAAGAGAACATGCTGGTTATTTGGGACATGCTTCGCAAAGCAATTAAACACAGAAAACTAGTTACTTATATCATTTGGTATCAAGGGGATGTAGAAGGACGCTAACCTCTTTGCTGCCACCAGAGCTCCCAGAGCTTAACAACTGGAAAATCAATCCCCTCTCAACATTTTCAGCTCCTTCATCGCATGCAGCCTATAAGATCAAATACAAATAATAGTCAGCCCAATAGAATGAAGAAGCAACTAAAATTGAGTGTGCAGCATATTCATGACCACAACACAAGAGGTCGTCCGGTTAGAATGGTACAAATGAATGAGTAGATTAACAAATGGGAAAATCAGATTGAGTCATTGAGAGCCAATGCAAACCGATCCAACCACGGACATCATTACGTTTGAAAAATGACATTTTAAAAAAGAAAATCAAATGGATCACCAAATGATCAATCTGGGAAAAGGCATCCACTAATTAAATTTCTGTTCTTGAATTCGATCATACATTGCCATATTTCCAAATGAACTCGTGTAGTACATGTATACCCCTCCGACATTTGAAGCAATAAAGGCTGGCAATAAATATAACCAAATGCAAACGACAAACACACATGGATACACAAATAACGAAATCTGCACAAGATATACCTTGAGATAAACAACGACATCATACGGTTCCACAACAGCTCATAATAGATACTTACAGTTATCAAGGAAGAAATGAATGGATGTATGGAGGACTGTTGGAAGGAATATCCTTGGTGAAGAATTGTGAATGCAATCAAACGTTCAGTAGAATGCAACATCTTCTTATCCTGCCAACGTACACAGGTAAATCATCAGGGACATGCAATAACAAGGTAAGCAATTTACATAAACAGAAACTTGAATAGAGACATCACAGAAAAATACATCAGACAAATATAAGATGCGCACTCAAACTCAAAGAATATGGAGGTAATTCTCTCATTTGCTCTTTGATATAGCTGCATATGCTCAAATTGGCACCTTTATCACTTCAAACAATAGCAATTCACCGAAGTTTCAAACATTACACGTCCATAGTAATAGCATGCAACCAAATTAGTTTAATTTATTCATGGAAGACAAATGACAAGTTTCCCAGCTGAAGCATCCAAGGAGAACTAGTCCTGCCAGTAACATTCAAATGCATCCAGAGCCGCAATTCCTCTCGAAATTAAATAAATATAGCCTATCTAAAGAAGATCCAAACTAGCAAGATTCTTGAGCTTGCAGAAAGGAAAACCTACAGAAAAGTTCCAGCTGACGAGCTTGCCCATTGTTGGCGCAATATGGCTTAGTGCCATGACAAACTAGTAACTAAAAAGAGAGTTGGGAAAGCAATCGAAGAACAAACATACTGGGACACCAGAGCAAGTGGCAAATTGAAAAGTGGCCTCAATTTTGGTTCTTACTGAGTGAATTTATTCTTTAAAGGGCCAAAAGCTCATCCAATAAACCTAAGTTGAAAGCGACAGATACACATACCACAGCACAGGGAAAAACAGGCGTCTAAAGAAACCCTAAAACCCCACGGACATTCTTGGAGGTCCGTCGAGTGTAATCAGTGAGTTGAGAGCCGGAAACGACTTGCTTACCTCCAAGAGGAGTAATAGAGAAGCTGAGAGAGTGAAAAGTCGGTGCCGAGGGAACTTGGCGGAGAATTCGGCGACGATCTCATCCAACGGGCGTTGGTCGGATCGGAGCAAACTGAGAAGAAATTGAGACTCTTCGGCGGTCAAAGACTTCCGCATCATCATTTGCCGGCGTCGGAATCACAATCGCAATTCGTCCCGCACTCCGCCTGTGTGAGAAGTTGAAGGAAAAGGGAATGGTTGCGCAACAAACGAGTCCCGCGGTGCCCAATGAGTTGAAATTGGATTCGGATTTCAGCGAGTCCGGCTCCCGACCCGGTCCGATTAGTTGCCGGGCGGTACATCCGCGGGTACAACCGGGTTCGGCTAGTAGAGGACACAAACCGGTTGGAACATCATCGAAAATCTGACCGATATGACCAGTTTACAGTTTCTAAATAAAATGATATTGTTTTTGTGAATTTAATTGACAAACAAATTGTGCATTGAAATATGATGATTTATTATTTTATTTGTTATGTGGTATTTTACTTAAATATAGATGTTGATGTTATTTGTTTGTAATGTTTGGATACTGATATTATTTGTTTGTCTAAAATATAATGATTTTTCATTTTATTTGTAATGTTATATTTTAGAGTTAATATTTTTTTATGAATCGTTGGGATCTTGCTCATAAAAAAAGCGCTTTGCTAGCAACACCCTTGCTAGCTAGGGATACTTCAGCAAAACTGCAAAGACAACAATAAAACTACCTCTGAGACAGATTGGTACTAATCATTCCAAAAGAGACTCACTCTACCCCTCCCAGTCCCACGCACATACACAATCTCAGACTTGATGACAGACAACACTTCTTGACCAGTATTTTCATAAATGTCTATTTTTGCTTCAACAGTCACCCAAAAGGCCAAAATGACTAATTTGGCCTAGGCTGAAAGTTGACCATAAAGTTGGACGGTCCACAAGCCGTGACACTGTCATGTCACCTTAAAAATATATAAAATTTATTAAAATTCACATATTTTCGAATTTCAATTATTACAATTAAACTAAAAATTTAAACAAAATTAAAAAAACAAAAAAAAAACTCCAACCCATCCCAATTTGTCAAATCTGGAGTCTAGTCTTAATCGCCTAACTAACCTTCCCCAAAGACATCCCAGAAATTCCCACTAGAGTCGAGAGCACCAACAATCTCCCTTTCATCGACTCGCTCTCCCCCCTCTTTGCGCTAGCCATGGAGCACGTGCAGCCTGACTTCGCCTTCTTAAGAATCTCGAGGACCATGTCTGGATTAGCTACTAAAGAGTGGCCTTCTTGAAAGTCAAATTAAAATGGCATTCCCAAACTAATAAGCTTCGACTCTGAATTCATCAGGCAACAACTCCCAACCGAATTCACTTTCATGGATTTCGTCATATTTTTACCTCCAACAACACCAAACCCCTTCACATACTACTGTTAAAATGGAGACCCTGCAAGGATGCAGCTGAACAATAGCAGGAAGTCTCCTTTATTTCGTTGTCCCTTTCTCCTTCCAACTACACTAGTACTTTAAGCTAGAGGAAACAGGCTGAACATCTCCATCCCAAATATTACGGCAAAGAATTGAGATCCCACCAAGAAAGTGGACAAGCTCTGGTTGGGGACATTCAACACATTCATGAAGCTGCCAAGGCATTCGACGTGGTTCAATGGCTCTTCTCATGTAGTGGAAGTCTACTGTGTTGTCTCCGACATAATTGAGGGTTGTAGATTTGCCAATATGGCTTGACCAATTGATGTCCTCTATATCATAATTTTTTGTCGTTATTTTGGGCCTTCAATTTCTTGAGTGACAATACACGGAGGAGGGATCAGGACAGTTGCTAAACCAACTTAACGTTATAAACTGGTTTTACAACCTTGTGCATTCTTTACACGATCCTTTATTATTATCCTCATTCTTTCGGGACCATCGCCTTTCACAAAGATTCAAACAAAAGAAGTAGGTCATTGGTGATAATCAAGCATCAACTTCATCCTCAAGTGCATATGTAGACCCAAGGGTCTCATTGTCGTCCTAAGGGCCTAACTGCTCACCATCAGACCTCGAGCATAGCCCACTTAGGTCAGGCCCTAGATTCGAAGTCATGGACACTTCAAGAATCCTCGAAAAAAGGCGTTCCCATATAAACAATGGGATTACATGCCACCCTTAACCTCTATGTTGCATAAGTAGGCCACATATATGAAAAGGAGTAGCTACTCACCCAAGCATTGTGTTGCATCGACGCTTGGTTTTTAGACGATTGGATCTATGGACCATCGATTATGGCTCAAGAGACCCACACTTAATCATGTGATATCTTTAACTTCCTTGTTCTTCATTGAGTAGGTAATGACATAAAGCAAAAACACACTTTAGCTAGTCAAGTTCATTTTGCATGTGGCAAAAGCTCGAGTATGAATGTCTTAGTGAAAGCGATATGGCATTTTGAGAAGGTTGAAAAATTATTAACCACTACGATTATTATGTGAATGAGCATGTCAAGTTACCCTACCTAAAACTAAAAGTTAATTTATGGGAGAGATGAAAATTTGCTAATGACTCACATATTTGAAATAACTAATGCTCCTCTTTAAGCGTTAACTTACTTATGTGTATGCTAATTTACGTCTTTAAATTTAATATTTTCGTAGTTTGTCATTATTTATAAAAGATTAAAAATTTCAATGTAAATCATTTCAAAAATAGTAAGAAGACAAGAAAACCAAAGTGTGAATTAAACAAGTTTTTGTGTGAATGAAAATTTAATTATCTTCCCTGAAAGCATAAATTGTAATTAACCAAACAAAACATAACCGGGGAAAATGAGAGTTCCCTTTGGAGATGGTTTAAACGGTTAAACCCTCGAATTGGGTTCCTAGGTTAGGAGTTAGGACCCGGGTCAAAGGTTTAAATTTAACGTCTTCTCAACGCCGTCGTTTAGTCTTGCCCAAGAGGCCAAACCTGCACTTTGATTCTCACAACAAGAAGGCCTATAAAAGCAAGGAGAAGGCGAGGGAAAAATCAACGTAAAACAATATTTTTTTTTTCCAGAGAGGAAGAAAGCGCCATTGGATCCGGGGGAACCCGACCCATCGAGAATCGCCTGAACTGGGGGCAAGCAACTGATCGTTGGGAGGCATAGCTCGCCACTGTAGAAACGAGCCCTCCACCGGTTCTTCTTCGGTCGTCAATTCTCTCTCTAGGGCTAGGGGAATCTTATCGGGGAAATTGTCGACGACGCGAATTGCCGAGCAGACTCTCTCCCCCCTTCTCCACCACTGGCGTTGGCTGGTGTTCGCCGTCGGAATCATTGTTGACTCGTTGTCACGGGCATGGACGGTTATGATTCCGCGGACGGGAGGGACGAAGGTGAGCTTGTTGTTTCTTGGAACGAGAAGAGAATTAAGTCGTCGAAATTTCTATGTTCTGGGTGTACGTTTGCTTTATTTGTGTTTCTTGGAGATGGTTATTCTGGTAGCTTTCCGTTTATGGAATGGAAACTGCAATCGGGAAGCAAGTTGTTGGTGTAATTGCTATTCTCTTGCAGCATTTTTTTTGGTCTGCCGAAGTTTGCTTGGAACTGACCTTAGAATGGAGGGGAGGGTTGCTGCATTGTAGGCTGAACTCTGTTCCAATTATTGATATCCGTGCTTAGAGTGCTGCAGAAACTATTGAATAACCAGCAAATGTTTCCAGTTATTTCGAACCCTTTTACGGTAACTTACCCAGCTCGATTGTGGTGGCAGCTGAAGATTAGTTTGGTAACAGGGGAGTCTAGGGGCCTTGTATTGTAGATTAAAAATTGTTTATGTTTGGCTCACTTGGGAAATCAATGCATCATGTTGTTTCTTTATGGCGCTTTGCTTGGTTCCTCATAAGAATGGTTGATGCAGGGTTGTTGTTGCATGGCATGGAAGATCCATGATTTGAGAATTTTCTGTTCTAGTGATTGAAGTATTTAGTGGATATTTTGTTCATTGTTTGAAGATATAATTTGATTCTAAATCTTGCTGGCTCTGTGACTTCTGTGGCAGATGATGAGGAAGAGTATGAGGAGGGTGGTGGAGCTAATCGGTTTTTGGGCTTTCTCTTTGGGAATGTTGACAACTCCGGGGATCTGGATGTTGATTACCTTGACGAGGTAACCTATTGTTTCTGCTTTTGAACAGTTAGAATTTAGAACAATGGCAAGGATGTTTTCTACCTTTAACATTTTTAAAGGGATGGTCTACATCTGAATTGATTTAACAGCAATGCGTTAATGGGATATGTAAGTGTGAGATGTGAGGTCTATGAAGGACGAGTTGAGAATTGCATTCAAGATTCATGCTTTCTCTTTAGCATTTTATTTTAAATGTCCGAACATGTTTACACATTTTAGTTTGAGTTTGCTGGCAGAGCGTTAAAGCCACCAGTGTTGGCAGAAAAGTAATGTACTTTGGGAAACATAATGGCCTGTCCTTTTACATATATCAGTAAGTTATTTTTTGTATAGGTAGTTTCAGGGATTCAAGTTCTTCATTCTTTTCACTGAACTCTGCCTGTCATTTAGTATAAGAATAGAATAATAGCAGGTCTGCAGTTTAGCAACTCTAATACTGTGTTTTTATAATCTTCAGGATGCAAAGGAGCACCTTGATGCACTTGCGGACCAATTAGGTCCCTCATTGACAGGAATAAATGTAGGGATTATTTTAGCATTTGAGTGATTTCTTCGATACATTCTAAGCTTTGTAGGGCTAATCACATGTTTCAAATTTCAGTTGTCACTGAAATCCTCAAAAACATCTACTGATGCTGCAGGTAATACTGTTTCTCATGAAAAACTATATGTGATGTAGTTTTGTTTTCCTCTGTTTATCCATGGTCCTTCAGCTATTCTCTCTCAACCGTTCGTCTTGTGCTTTATCTTATATTTATTGAGATGCATGAATTACAGAGCTATAATTATATAACAGTTTCATTGACACCGTTATTTATACTTGAGATAGCAGCTGATGAGTGTAATGTGTAAAACCACTTAAGTGATAAGGAGCTTGACATTTCTACCATAATCAAAAGAATCTTTTGTAGACACTGATGCTTGTTTACTTCTGTATGAAGTATGTATTGAATCATGTGTGGGTATGTCCCTAGAAGTTTTGGTTTCTTTCATCAAATTTCTGATATTTATCAATCTGGGTTGCTGCTGGTAGATTATAATGACAAGGCTGAAGATGCGGTGGATTATGAAGATATCGATGAGGATTATGACGGACCAGAAATTCAAGATGCTGGCGAGGAGGAATACTTATTGCCAAGGAAGGAATACTTGGCTGCTGAAGTTTCTCTTTCTGAATTGCGGCCATCAGCTTCACTCTTTGATGACGAAGATTATGATGAAGAGGAGGAAGATAAAGATGAAAAGGAACCTGTCAGGATGGAAGATAGACCTGAAGTTGCGCCTTCATTGACAGGTTCAATTCTGTAAAATGATTTATTTGGCTTTTTGTTAATTGAATGTTTGCCTTAAGGTTTGAGCGATAATTTGACGGGAATACTCTTTGGTGGTTCATTTGCATTTTAATCTTGCATCTCAAACAACCTAGGTAAATAGTGTATCGTGGATGTGAGATTGGCTAATATTTTCAAACAACTACCAGCTGTCCAAGTTCCTTCAGTTGGAATGGGTTTGGGGTGTCGAACAGTTGCTTTTGTGATGAAGTTGTATGTGGGAAGGAAGATAAGTTTTGGATTTTGATGATTCTGGCCTTTGTTAAGGCTTCGTTCTAGACAATTTGAGGCTTTTAATGATTTCATTTGCGTTTCATCTCAGGGAGCCTATGTTATATCTTCCATAACTCTGGCCGCCTTAATCCTGAAAATTGAATATTGGTCTTTTATTTTCACTTGCGGTCTTTACATCTTTCTTGGGTTTACTGTTTAGATTCACATTTGACTTATTTTAGCAGTCATTTTCAGGTCCTAAGTTGACAGTGGTTCCAGAAGGAGAACAATCACGCCAAGATGTCACACAACCTAGTACCGAGGATGATGAAACTTCAAATTCTGAGTTAATAGATCCACACAAGGTCAGTATATTACTGTTTATTGCACCAGTACACACTTCTTCCTATTTTTGTTTCTTGTGATCCAAATTTATCTCGCTTTGCTTAAATACTTGTGGGCGTTGATAATTTTGTGAATATCAGGACTCAAGTAATCGTATGAATGCTTGATTAAGCAAATGCAAGCCTAATTATTTTTCTTCTTCAGAGAATTTCTGCTCTATACTTGTTTAACAATACAGGTTGTTTACTGGTGACTGCTTTATTGTAAATGAGATAATCAGTTTATTCTCTTACATGAATATGGGTTTTGAGATGAGGGGCTGCTCCTTTATGAGGTCAACCCCAATAGGTCCGAAAATTAGTAAAATACTAACAAAAATTAGCATTGATTCCTGACACCCCTAGGGCTTCTTAATGTCAAATGTTGATAATGTGCAAAGTATGTCGCACTATAGTTTTCAACTAGCACAGATGATCTCTGGGTTGCTTGCGGTGTCAGATTCCAAATTTTTACTCTAACATCTTAGTATTGTCCTTAAACAGGTGGAAGTAGAAGACCAACAGGAGCCTGATACTAAGGAGTCCACACCACTACCTATTCTCTGTGTAGAAGATGGGATGGTGATATTGAAGTTCTCTGAAATATTTGGTAATTATGAACCTTTGAAGAAGGTGCCTAAAAGAGAGCATAGATATGCTATCCGCAGAGGTATTTCTTTTGTCTTGTATACTTTTCAGGTATTAGTGTTTACATCAACTTTATAACTGCAAAAGAATGGCAAGAACACTGTTGAGACTTGTGGTTTAAGAATGTGCAGGACTATTGGTTTCCTCCATCTGTATTTTGTGGGTGGATGTGTGGACCATGCTTGTCTTTCTTTCTTTTTACAGTGTGAAAAGAGGAACAAAGAGAGAGAGAGAGAGAGAGGGTAGTTGGTTATGAAGCAGAGATTATTGTGATGTGGGGATCCTTGCGCTTGTGTTCAGATTAATTTTTTAATTTGTTGCTTTGTTTCTCATTAATTTTCCAGACAATTATGGATCAATGGATGTGTCAGATATTGTTGAAGATGACGAAGAGGCCTTTTTGAGAGGCTCAAATCAAACAACCTTATCATGTCCGCACGATGTATCAACTTGTTACGATGAAGAGTTGGAATTATCAGATGGTGAAGGAGCTTTTCAGATGTCTGCTCCAGATAATGAACCAGGAAAACACATATATCTTAGTGGAGAACCACTGAGCGAATATTTGACAGCTAATCTATCTGCTGGATGGCAATCACAATTTTCTTCAAAATTCTATCCTCTCGATCAGTATGATTGGGAAGATAGAATTTTGTGGGATGACTCCCCTGTTGGAAGTAAAAGTAGCTTAGAGTCTTATGATATGCCTATGCACGATTCAGATGCAGATGAAGATGAAAGTGTCGAGCTTAAAAACTTGCAACCAGAGAACTCGCTGCAATTGGATGACAAAGGACATTATATTCCCTCACACATGCCACATGTTCTCTTGGAGTCATTTAGATCTGAAGAAAGCATGGAGACTATCAGCTCAATTGCAGGTGGAATATGTCATCCCCAACTTTTGAGGTTAGAGTCTCGACTGGGTGTGGATAAAGTTAGTGATGTCGATAGGAAAAAGGAGCACTATGAGTCGGAGCTTCACCAAAATGATGCTCTAACGCGTTTCAGTGAACTCTCGTTGCATAATAAGGATATCCTTGAGGGCTCTTGGTTGGATGATATAATATGGGAGCAGCCTAATCCTAATGCGAAATCTAAGTTAATTCTAGACCTTCGAGATGACAAGATGGTTTTTGAAATTTTTGATGATAAAGAGGGCAAGAATCTGCAGCTGCATGCAGGGGCAATGATTATAAGTCGGTCTTCGAAGTCTAGAGGCTGTTCAGAGCTTTTGCATCAGGGATACCAGTCTTGTTGGCAATTCAATATTTCCAATGACAAGTTCTACACTAACAAGAAGATTTCTCAACAGCTGCAATCAAATGCTAGTAAAAGAACTGCTTATGGCATCAAAGTTCATCATTCAGCACCAGCAATCAAATTGCAAACGATGAAATTGAAGCTAAGCAAGTAAGTCTGGGAGTACTGTCTTCATCCTACTGGCTTATGTTTTGTGCAGCTCGGAACATTGATTTTGCTGTTCCCTGTTTTCTTGTTTCTGCAACATGTGCTGAACCTACCTTTTTGCGTTTGGTCAATTTGGTCTTCTGCAGTAAAGACCTGTCTAATTTTCATCGCCCAAAATCTCTGTGGTTTCCCCATGACAATGAGGTGGCTGTTAAACAACAAGGAAAGCTGGCTACAACCGGTCAAATGAAAGTCATTTTAAAGAGCTTAGGAGGCAAGGGAAGTAAACTTAATGTGGATGCCGAGGAAATTGTGTCTTCTGTTAAGTCAAAGGCTTCAAAAAAGCTAGGTTGTTTCTTTTATCCGTGTGCTAAGCTGATGTTATCCTATACGTATTTTGCTTTATCAATTCGTTGACAGTTATGTTGGCAAATTATTCATTGAAATGGTACCTCAACATTGCTTTTGTAGATTTCAAGCCACCAGAGAAAGTGAAGATGTTCTATTCAGGGAAAGAACTTGAAGATGATAAACCTCTTGCAGCTCAAAATGTTAGACCAAACTCTTTGCTTCATCTTGTTCGTACCAAGATTCATTTGCTTCCTAAGGCACAACGGATTCCTGGTGAAAACAAGTCTCTACGTCCTCCTGGGGCATTTAAGAAGAAGTCTGACCTTTCTGTAAAAGATGGTCATGTCTTTTTGATGGAGTAAGTAATTGCGATTGTCTTCTTACTGTAAATTCTATATTTTTTTTCTTTTCCGAGACTGTATTCTATGTCTATTAGTGGAGATTTCTACTTGTTTGGTACCCAGAAACTTGCATTTAGGTCATTAATTCCCAAACATTCTTTTACTTCCCTCTATCTTTTCATATGTTTTCAGGAAGGCGATTCGTGAATCTGGAGATGTATGTTCTCTGTGTTTTGATTTAAATGTGTGTATGCAGATGTAATGTACAATAACAAAGTATATATAAACACGAAAGCGCATAGTTTAGATTTGAAGGCAGGCAGTGTGTGCCATTATCTGCTTGTATGACCTGCTGGCAACTTGGTGCTACTATTCTGTCAACTGTCATAATGTCTTGTTTTGTATTTCTTTTCTTTCAGGATTCATTCTTTCAGCATCCCTTGCCTGATAGCTTTGTTCATCTGGATGCAGGAGTTAGATTTTTATTTTATTGTAAAAGATGTATTGTTAACTTTTAAGTGTTATTCATTTGAAGATCTTTAACTGCAGATATTGTGAGGAAAGACCTTTGTTGCTAAGCAATTCTGGGATGGGGGCGAACGTGTGCACTTATTACCAAAAGGCTAGCCCTACTGACCAAAATGGCTCATCATTGCGCAACAGAGGTGACTGTTGGGGAAATGTAGTTACACTTGACCCTAATGATAAATCCCCTTTTCTTGGGGATATAAAACCTGGGTGCAGCCAGTCGTCTCTTGAAACAAACATGTACAAAGCACCAATATTTCCCCACAAAGTGTCATCCACGGACTATCTGTTGGTTCGATCTGCCAAAGGAAAGTTATCATTAAGGCGTATTGACAGAGTTGCTGCTGTTGGACAGCAGGTTTTATTTTTCATCCTATTCATTTCACTTTGTGGTAGTTCTCAATAGGACTATTCCTATCATTTAGTGTTCCTTTATGGTTAGTTATTTTTGTTGTTGTTTCATATATTCTTTGTTTGTTTTATCTGGGTTCAAACTAGTTTGGCTGTCAGTTGGTTTTCTTATATAATAAAGTTCTAATAGGTCACCATGATGATTGCTTTAGATTGAAACATGTTTGGCAAAAGAGCCAATGGAGTTTGGCATGGTTAGATTTTGAAGGTTGCGTTAGGAATAGTGAAGTCGGTTTGGATTTTAAATGAGAAGTACCCTTTGTTTCCGATGAATTACTTACTAAAACCGTAATTTTGTAAAATTTCTTGCTATGATGTTTTTGTAGGAACCCATTATGGAGGTCTTCTCTCCTGGATCTAAAAATCTTCAAGCATACACTTTAAACAGGTTACTGGTGTATGTTTATCGGGAGTTCCGGGCTGCTGAAAAGCGCGGCATGGTTCCCTGGATCCGTGTAGATGAGCTGACAACTCAGTTTCCGGGCATTGCTGATACAATCGTAAGAAAGAAGTTGAAGGAATGTGCTCTGCAACGGGTAATTTTTTTTCTCTGAATGTCCTTTTGTGAAGATTTTCATGTCCTTGCTAGGAATTTGTGTGATCTGTTTTTGCATTGGTATTTAATGCCTTCCAGAGCAGTATTTTCCAATTCGCACTTGCTGTGTCTTCAATGCTGTACTGTCTAAAATTCACTGTTTTCATGTATATCTGTGTGCAGAGGGATCCACATGGAGATTGGTATTGGTACAAGAAAAAGGATTTCAGCATACCATCTGAAGAAGACTTGAAAAAGTTAGTGATACCTGAGAATGTAAGTCTCTTATGTCTTATCATCTTTTTTTTCTTAGCTCTCTGCTCCCTTACTCTGAGTCATGTTACTGAAGTTGTGGACATTGGAGTTCGGTCATCATTCGGTCTTTGGTATGCATATCCTCTTTTATTTTTGTAAGATATATATCAAAATTTGGTATGCATATCTTACAGCTTCTCTCAATGAATGTGGAATCCGTCTATTACCAGAGTACAGTAAAAGATCATTTGTTTTGTGAGTTCTGCTCTTGCCAAATGGTTGCCTCATTGTTTATGTCCTGATTCTGGCTTAGGTCTGCGCATATGAGAGTATGCAAGCTGGTCTTTACCGTCTCAAACACTTGGGGATCACCAGGCTAACACTTCCTACTAGTGTTTCCACTGCAATGAGTCAGCTGCCTGATGAAGCAATAGCCTTGGCTGCTGCATCACATATTGAAAGAGAGTTGCAAATTACTCCTTGGAGCCTAAGTAGCAATTTCGTTGCCTGTACAAACCAGGTCAGTATCTATTTCTCTGCTTCTGAAGTTCCCGGGTCATAAAAGTCCTTAAACTACTTCTGTCAATTTCTTCTTGTCCTCCTCTTCATAGCATGGAATTTTTGGAAAGATACTGTGGTTGATAAAGTCACATGAGAATATAATCGCCATTTTAGGTTTATCAAATGAATGATCTTGTAGATAAAATATGCATTGAAGCAGAAAGATTTAAAAGAGAATCGTGTTTGATTAACTCTTGCAATTGCTATGAATTGAAAAAGTGTGCATGCAAGAACTTTGGCCAACCAAAATTAGTTGAATTACATCTGAACGTGTTGGTTATTTTATTGCATAATCTCATATGTCTAGACGGCAGTTCATGATCTAGCCTGTTAACCATGCCTAGTGTGAAAAGAAAAACCTTCCTCTTGTTCATCCTTCTCTAGCAGGAAGGAAACATTCCCAGAAAGTTAATACTAAGACAGTTTCAGGTGAAGTTCGAATTAGCCGTCCTTGGCTGATCTGTGATTTTGTATCTTGTGTATAATATGTGGCTGTAAGGCGACATTTATTTGAAATGGAGTAAAATATCTTGAATGTCAATCCTGTAAAGTTAATTCAAACAGAGTAATGACCATTGGAGATGGTCTTGTTAGTACTACTAGTGCTTTAAATTGTCTTTGGAACTACTACCAATGGGATTCACTTTCACACTTTGAGCTATTCTCAACTCAGCATGCATAAGTTTCTCTTATTATCAGATATGAGCTTCTCCTTTGCCATGCATTGTTGGTCAATAATATATGAATTTTCAGGACAGAGACAATATTGAGCGGCTTGAAATTACGGGTGTTGGTGATCCATCCGGACGGGGCTTGGGATTCAGCTATGTTCGTTCCATTCCAAAGGGATCAGTTTCGAACGCTACGGCCAAGAAAAAAGCAGCTGCTCGTGGAGGTACGACTGTTACTGGAACGGATGCAGACCTCCGTAGATTAAGCATGGAGGCTGCACGAGAGGTACTATCAACTTGCCACAGACTGGTTTCTTATACTTGTGATTTGATGCATCCTGTTGACCGTTTGAGTACCCTGTTCTTTTTCCCCTATAATGATGAGACTGATTGAGTTCCTTGACATCATATGATGAATTAAGCTTGTGGACTAATCTGTGGACTCTTGCGACATTAACCTCAAGGTCTCCGAATGTGAGATGGTGGGCCTTGTGTTTTTCTTTTATGAATTTTTGTATCGCGTCAAGTTTCTTGAAGAAGAGAGATCGTGTAAATTTACCATTTTGCCTCTGTTCTGTGTCAGCAAGGATGACATAAGAATGGAAGTGGACACATTATTGACTTGGCTGCTAGATAAGTTACATAGCGTGATTACTGGACTGGATGACAATAACCTTATCCCAATTTTTGTGCTTTTGATCTCTCTGAATTTGCAGGTTCTTCTTAAATTTGGTGTTCCTGAGGAACAGATTACAAAACTAACTAGGTGGCATCGCATTGCTATGATACGCAAGCTTTCTAGTGACCAAGCCGAATCCGGTGTGAAAGTTGATCCAACAACAATCAGCAAGTATGCACGTGGCCAGCGGATGTCCTTTCTTCAGTTACAGCAGCAAACAAGAGAAAAATGCCAAGAAATTTGGGACCGTCAAGTTCAGTCTCTTTCAGCAGTGGATGGTGATGAAAATGACAGTGATTCTGAGGCAAATAGTGATCTAGATTCCTTCGCCGGAGACTTGGAGAACTTACTCGATGCGGAGGAGTGTGAAGGTGATGAGAGTAACTGTGAGTCCAAACGTGAGAAAGGAGATGGTGTTAAGGGTGGTCTGAAAATGAGAAGATACCCTTCACAAACTCAAGCTGAAGAGGAAAATGAAGATGAAGCTGCAGAGGCTGCTGAACTTTGCAGGCTGCTCATGGATGGTATGAACTTACTTAATCACTGCCTACTTCATAGCTTGCTGCAGTCTTCTTAGCTCACTAGTTCTTTGAATTAAGCCGTCTCTCTAGTTTGGCTGTCTTTAAAAATGATCAGACTTTATTGCCTTTGAATGCTGTTGTTTTGGATGGTGGTTCTGAGTTCTCTTTTCCTACATTATTTATAAGGCAGAATCTCAGATCTTGCCAACATGCTTATTAAATGATGCATTTGAAATTCTGGTAGAACATGTTAATATAGAATATTCTCATGATTATCTGAGATGCAGTCATAATTTCCTTTTGTATGATGCACTGTCATGATTATACTGTAGATGGCGAGGCTGAGCAGAAGAAGAAGAAGCAGACAAAAAGTGTTGTGTCAGAAGGAACATTACCATCAAGCTCGAAATTGAATTTTGTTGAAAATGTCGAACAGCTCAATAAAGCAACGAAGCTGCTACCTAACGGGTTGCAGATCCTTAAAGAGAAGAAGGCTGGGGAAACAAAGGAGGTAGATGTGCTGCCATTAGTGGCCCTCTGCTTGAATGTGGAAGAAGAAGAGAAATATTTTTTAATCCATTAGATATGACTAGTTTACATTTTGTGGCAGGCGGACAAGTTTTTTGGCAAAAAGAAAGTACTTGACAAGGGGAAGGGGAAGCTGATGATTAATGATACTCCTCCCATGCCTCAGTTGAAAACTAAAGTTATAATGGCAGATGTACTCAAGGCAAGTGAAATTCTCCTCACAACTAGCTGGATGGTTCTGTTTGGAGTTCTTCAGAATGTTTTCATGTTGTAGTGGTCTATCCTGTCTCGGTCCCCATCTATTTGGGAGTAGGCAATAATTTTATGCAAGCTTCCTGTTGTTCTCTGGCTAAACTGGCTTTTCCTCACTAACTAGGATTTCAAGGAGAAGAAGTCATCGAGAGAGAAATTTGTCTGTGGAGCATGTGGTCAGGTTGGTAGTTTATGACTAAGCAAGCTTTTATTGAGTATTTTTTCATTCTTTTTGAAGAACTTGGTTTGCTAATGGATCACTCACTTTCGTGGTTGAGCACCAGAATGGACACATGAGGACAAATAAAATGTGTCCAAAGTACGGTGAAGAGCCAGAAACACCAGCTGAGTCGGCAGATGTGGAGAGAGGTTCGGGGAAATCCAGTTTCCTCGATCCTTTGAACAGGTCTCAACAACACAAGAATAAGAAGAAAAAGCTGTCTCAAAAAAGTTTAACAATAAACGACAATGAAAAATCTAACAGCAACGTGAAGGCTAATCAGCTCCCATCAAAGTTCAAATGTGGGTCGAGTGAGGTACCTTTTGAGAAATCTGGCGACTTGGAAGCTGCTGCTCAGAGCTCTGATCAATACTATATCAACTCCAGTGCTCTGCCTGCCAGTTCGGATACCGATACTGGGGGGAAATCCATCAGTAAAGTCAACAAGATCAAAATCGCCAGCAAGGGAAGATCTGAGAGTGGTGCACCGGTTGTTGAAATGCAAAGGCCGTTTGTGATGCAGCAGCAGCATCCTCCACCAGATGCAGATAGAGGATTGAAAGAGTCTGTTCGGCCACCTATTACCATCAAGCCACCAGTAAATGTGGAAAGAGACCATGCCGAGAGTAGACAGAAAACTATTCTCATTCGCCCCCCTGCAGAGAGAGAAAAAGAACAGTCTCATAAGAAAGTGGTCTTCAGACAACCCAGAGAGGTTGTGGACCTGGATCGATTGAGTCAGGACGGAAGCAGCACTGGTTTTGAGTATCACCAGAAGACTAAGAAAATGGTCGAGCTATCAAGTTTTGAGAAGCAGCATCATAGGAAGCTGGACACACTACATTTTACAGGAGGATCATCATCAGGAGCAAAAAAGAAGAAAGCGAAAGAAGAGGCGGCAGCAGTAGCAGCAGCAAGATTTTGGGAAGAAGATCAGAAGAGGAGAAATGTTGAGAGGTTGAGGGAAGAGAGAGCAAGAATGCAGGCTGCAGCAGCAGCGGCGGAGGAGATGAGAAGGTTTAAAGAACGAGAAGGGTTGATCAGGCTAAGAGAGTATGAAGAAGCCATGAGAAGAGCGAGGCAAGAAGAAGAAGAAGAGGAGCGTCAAAGAGCCAAGAAGAAAAAAAAGAGGAAGAAGGAAACGCCTGAAATTAGCGATGACTACATGGAAGATTACAAGGCTAGGAGACACGATAAAAGAATTCCAGAAAGAGACAGCAGGGGAACAAAAAGGCAACCTGTTGGTGACTTGGGCAAGTACAGTGCTAAGTATGCCCCGCCCACTAAACGTCGAAGAGGTGGAGAGGTACTTGCACTCTTGAATTCCTTACTGGTTCTCCATGCCTGCAACATTTTGAATTAACCGTGCTTAATCCTTTCTGAACTGCCCGTAGGGCAGCATGAATGCTTGCTGTTGTTTTTATCTATTTTAGTTTTCTGGTACTAAATTGTCTTGAGTTTTTCATTAGTTTCCTTTCGACAAGTTTTGATTTGGGGTGTTCTTGAGGTAGGGTTTCTTTCTTGGATAGTATGCGTCTATGCGACTCCTTGAAGGAGATTTCATTACAGGAGAGAGAGAGAGAGAGAGAGAGAGAGAGAGAGAGTAATTGGGGTCTGTTTTCTTTAATTTAGATTTTCATTGGTTTCCTTTTCGACAAGTTTTGATTTGGGGTGTTCTTGAGGTAGGTTTCTTTCTTGGATAGTTTGCGACTCCTCAAAGGAGATTTCATTACAGAAGAGAGAGTTATTGGGGTCTGTTATCTTTAATTGGGGAGGAAGGAATCCCCTTCAAAAACCTGGGCGAGGCTTATCATGTTATTAACCTTCTCTGGGATTCTTAATCACTATGATCTCCTGCCTTTTTCTTCTGTCTGTAGGTTCTCCTGTCAAATATCTTGGAGGAAATTGTAGACGCACTCAGAGACAGGCGTGAAGTGTCGTATCTTTTCCTAAAACCAGTATCTAAGAAGGAAGCTCCAGATTACTTGAAGATCATAGAGCGGCCGATGGATCTTGCGACGATCAAGGAAAAGGTGAGGAAGATGGAGTACAAGAACAGAGAGGAATTCAGACACGATGTGTTTCAGATCACGTTAAATGCCCACAAATACAACGACAGGCGGAACCCTGGTATCCCACCTCTGGCTGATCAGCTTCTAGAACTCTGCGACTTCTTGTTAGAAGAGAATGCGGGCGAGTTAGCTGATGCTGAAGCTGGGGTGGGAATCTAGATGAAGAACCAGACATTTGTCGTTAGGTACGTAGTGAAATATTAATTTGCGATTTTCTAACGTATAGATTTGACTACATATTTGCTGCCCCCATTGGTGAAGTGAACATTATGATATACAGGAACAGGATGCAGAAGAAAGCTTTTGCATTGGAAACTCTTGTTCGGGATGAAGGCTGTTACATGGAGGTTTCTTTTTCTAGGGGTTATCATGTCTTTAGTAGATCAGTCTCCTAGGGCTTTTAGCTTGCTGCTTCTGGAGAGATGGCGACTGATTGCTTGTTCGCCATTGGTGTGTAAAATATTAACTAGTTGTATTTCATGTGTACCTCACTTCTGTAAGATATATGCGCCCAACTTATTGTACAAAAGATCTGATTATTTTCCATTTCAGTCAAAACATCTAAGTTGGAAAGAGGAAAGGAAGAGGAAATATCTAGCATGTATATAGGTGGTCAACCGTTAGTCGGTTATCGGACTTAAAAGATAATCGAATTGATAACAATGGTTAATTGTAAATCGATAATTAATTTTAGTTGTTCAGTTTCAATTAGCTATATTTTGCTTAGTGGTTAACTAATAGCAATCTACTAGTATAACAACATAGTTTTTGGTTTTGCCTGACAGGAAAAGTCCCAAGACTCAAAACCAATCCATACTGCAATACCAAACATCTCAATTCACATATTGCAAACAAACATCCACCCAATGTCTCAAATATGTTTTATTGCCATGCCAATTGCTAATTCAATCCATAACAGACAGTCGATAAGTCTTGTTGACTTGATCCTCCGTATGCATTTTTTGCTAAGTGGTTAGCTTCTAAACGTCAATTAGTATATCGCACCCTTAGTCTGGGGTGCACAACATTCTCATTTTGATTATCCGATTCGTATGAGGATCAAGTCAATAAGGGTTCATTGTACTTTTACCTAGCTCTGCAGTCAAGCTGTCTAAAGTAGTAAATATCGACTGAGCTTTTGGATGAGTTGAATCCCCAGAGGTGAATACATGAGTTGTATCAGCAATGTTCACCCAGCTGCAACCAGCAAACTTCCTGGTTTCCTTCTCCTTCATCTCCTTCCTTACCCTTTGCATCTCCCCCCAGTTACCTTCCGTGGCATAAACATTGGCCAACTGCACATACCGACCTCCTCCAGTATCCATTCCCAGCTCGAGCATCGTCTTCTCCACCTCCCTTGCTAACAGTACATTCTTGTTTATCTTACACGCATTTAGAAATGCCCCAAGGACTACACCACTTCGTTTTTCTTCCTTTGGAATTATTTCCATGAAGGATGCTGCCTCTTTCAGTCGATTAGCCCTTCCGTAGAGATCGATCATGCAAGCATAGTGATCACTATCTGGAAGTATATCGTGAGTAGCTGTCATTGAAGCGAAAAACTCTTCACCCAATTCAACCAACCCACAATGGCGACAAGCTGATAAAAGAGCTACGAATGTAACTGCATCAGGTTTAATTCCCTTATTCACCATATACTGGAACAGCTCTATAGCTTCATCTGCGTGCCCATGATGAGCATAGCCGGCCATCATGACATTGTACATGACTAGATCCTTTTCTTTAACCTCAAGAAACAGCTTTTCTGCATACCCCAGACAGCCACATTTCAGATACATGTCTACTACTGCGCATATCATTTTGGCATCCACTTCGGTTCCCGTTCTAAGTGCAAAGGCGTGAACTTGTTTTCCTGAGAGGAGAGAAGCTTGCAGTGCACAGGCACCAAGCACACTCACAAGGATCAAGCGATCGGGACCCGTTGCTTCCTTTTCTCTGAACTCGGTTAGAAGATCGAATACAGCTCCACATTGTTGTGTCTTGACATAACCTGAAAACAAAGATGTCCAAGCAATTGCGTTCTTTTCTATTAAGGAGTCGAACAGCTTGCGAGCTTGTACCATGTTCGCCTGCAATGAGTAACCTGTCACCATCGAAGTGATGGAGAAAGGGCTAGTGGTCCCAGAACCGAAATGCAGCGACTCTGCATAGTTCATCTTCCCACATTTGCAGTAGACATCAACTATACCATCATGTATAAATGGATTGGTAAGGCAACCGTTCTTTAATACCCAAGCATGGATTTCCTTTCCAATCTTCAAGTTCCTCAAGCGAGAACAAGTAATCAAGAGACTGGCAAAAGTGTGTTCATCATACTCGATGCCTCTTTCTCGCATACGAACAACCAACTTAAATATCTCCTCCGGATGACCAGTTTGAACATAACCCCAAATCAAAGTATTCCAAGAAACTGTATCGTTCAACTCATTCTCCATCGTGAATACTGTATCAGCCATTTCCATTTCACCGTGTCTACAGCAGGCTGCCACAAGGGTATTCTTGGTCACTGAATCAATAACATCCTCTTCGCACCCCTCGAAAACCTTCCAAGCCTCTTCAAAGCATCCAGATTTCGAGTACATGTCAATCAAAGAACTGGCGGCAAACCCACTCAGATCATTACCCGTCTTCACCATGCGGCAATGCAGCTGCTTGCCAAAGCAAATCATGGACGACTTGGCACACAGGTTGATCATAGTGGTGAGAGTAACCTCGTCAACTCCAACCTCATCAGGGTGACTCCACATATCAGCAAACAAGTCCACTGCGAGACTCTCAAACCCACCAAATCGAACGTAACCAGCCAGGAGGGAGTTGTAGGTGACGGAATCTCGCTCCGGCGCGGAGTCAAAGAGAGCTCTCCCTCGGGCCAAGTCGCGACATTTAACGTGGGCGGATATGATGGTGTTCCAAGAGAAGAGGTTTCTGCGAGGCATTTCGTCGAACAACTTCTGGGCATCGCGGATAAGACCATGGTTGGAGTACATATGGATGAGCTGATTGGAGATGAGAACCGGCAAGGGGAAACCGGCCTTGACGGCGCGGCAATGGGCAGTGAGGTAGTGTATGAATTTTGACGAGTTGGGGCCCTTCCATTTCATGCATTACAGCCAGAAGAGATGCAACCAAGAGGAAGAGTTGCGTCGCTCTTGTTACACTCCGCGCGCCACTCAGATGGAAAGAGTTTGACGCGAGGAAATCTGACTGTTGGCGGGAAAAAGAAAACCTTGGAGGGGAAGGCAGGATAGGCGTTGGGGAAAAGGGTAAAATTTAGAGTTGAATTGATAATTTAGGAGAAATATGTATTTAGTAGGTCAAATAGCATTAAGGATGGCATACAACGGTCTATTAAAAATCATGAAATTGCTACGGGAGTACCACATCACGAATACTAATATGATACTCCCAAGTTCCGACGTACCAAGTAATTTTTCCTAATTCAAAGCTCACATTTCAATTGCAACATATGTTTGTCGAGCCAGCTCAGTACCCTCAATAGCTCCGCTAGTCATAGTTTGATCTAATCCAATAGAAACCCGTATAGGAAAGGGTCAAAAAGTTTAGAGAACTCGATGGTTTTTTTTTTATGTTTAGGGATCCTATGGAATCGAACAACCAAATCGAACTATGGTAACTACAATTAAGACATTTGCACATTTAGTTTCGAACTGATCTTCTGACTAGGCATAGTGTAAAAGCTCGTACAGTCGAAAATCGAATCACTTTCCAATTTCCATGCAACTCTGGCCTTGCTGGAGGCATTTGGATTGTCTTTCCTATGCTAAGCTACTTCTTAAACTTCGACATCAAAATCTAAACACATTTCAAAACTGGGGATACACAAGAAAACTCAGTTTCGGCCTTACAGTTGGATGAAGAATACTAGAAAAACTAGATAAATGATCGAGGCCTCGAGGAGGAGAGCATTGTCATTGCAACACTTTGAATCCGAATTACTGGGACACCTTAAAGACGATAGATTAGAAAACCCTATGGCTACACATCTAACAAACTGAATGATGCAAACAGAAACTTCTAAGCTGCAAAACTTTCCCAGGCTGCTCAATACATCATCAGAAAGACAGAAACTACTCTGTTCCAAAATGTATGGCCAAAATGATACAACTCAGGCTCTTTGTACTTGCAACAGCACTTACAAGCATAGCAAGTGCAGTCTTGTTACATCATCTAACTTCAGGCTACGTTCTTGAAAATCCTATTTCACCCACAAAATGAAAAGGAAAAGAGATAAATTTTAACCACCAGCCTCAACAGTGGTAGTATTCAACCGAAAATGATCTAAGGTGTGTATTCGGTGAAACCTGTGTGTTAGGGATAGATGTGTCCAATTCGAACTAACGATCTCCATCCCAGGATGATTTTTTAAGAAGGCGTGGACACCCTTAGTCTTTCCACTAATTAATCTTGGGCTTCGCCCGTCCTGGCTTCAACACAACATATAGAAGACCAGCAACGATCAGAAAAGCAGGAATTGTTGTCATGTCGAAAACCACATGCACTTTCCGCTCTGTTGCGCAGTGAATCGGATGCAGAAGAGCAACGGTTGCATTCACTTGCTCAGAAAACCTGCACCACCAACGGAAGTCTACAGCTTAGAAACAACAGTACACCAACAACAAAATTTGCTTCTTTTCATGATTAACCAAATTATGGCATAGGTCATCAATTATTTTTTTATTACAAAAAATATCTAATATAAACCGAAGCCTTAAAGAACACAGTTTCCCTAAGTTAAAACAACACACCCTAATTGATGGCATAGGTCATCAATTATTTATACCAAAGATTATTTAAAAAAGTGACCATTTTAAGCAAAAACAACACACCCTAAGTTAAAAAAAAGGTCCCAAGTGAGGTGAAGCAGAAGCCCATACTTTCGAAAACCATATCTCGCAGCATATTAGCAGACTCGAGAACAATAGAAGTTTCAGCAGTTGAAAATGACTTACACTTTAGTTGCATCCTCTAAGGTAAGAAGAAGTCTCATGGCATCCACATAACGCAGTTCTCCGGTAACAGTTGCAATCTGAAATGCGGGGGCAAGATATCATGACGAGCTAAAAACTGATATATCAGAAAGTGACAATGGTAATGCAATTCTAGATAAGTTGGTATTAGGAATAACTCACCCTTCTCCACAAACTGACAACATAGTTATACTTGTTCACAAGTTCTTTCTCTTCAGAATGGAAAAGCTTGTACGTACTTTTAGCTATTTTAGGTTAAAGTCTTTTTCAGCAGAAGCAACATATAATGGATAATAACAGCACGAAAAATATATATACTTCTCAAAATCCACACATAAAGCAGAATTTTGAAACAGAAGCAGTAAACAATGGCAGAAGGATACATGTCCTTTCCATGAGTAGACTACGTATAGCAGAATTGACTAGCTGTAGAGACTCCTCAAGCGTGGTGATTATATAACTCCGCGCAATTGTATCCAAATGGAACTGTGAGATGTCCCAGCCTTGAGATGTAATGGAGAATGGATTGCATCCAGCTGACCATATCCAGTCCTGTGAGTTAAGGGGTACAGCAAATTAGAGATAGCAGACTAGCAGCAACCGCTTTTAACACAACAGACAGGAAATTCTGCTTCAGAAGTATGTGCTTAAAAGTATGATTAAAGGTGTGCATAATCTTCTATGCGCATGTGAAACAAAAATAGCACGGTTCCATGGAGTTCAATGCTACAAAAAGGACTTAACAAGTCATTTTCTTTTTCTCGACAGCTGGGTGGAAAGCTGCTATGATGGGGAGCCATGTAACAATAGCTTGCATTTTTTAATAAAAATGGGAAACATTTGAAATTTCAAGGTATCATACTTTTAGGTAAAATATTTGAAAAATGGAATTGCTAAGGGATGCTTAATGGTGCAAACTTTGTTCTACCTGATGTCAACATGCAGAAAATAGCCACAAACAGAAACGCTTCAACAATCCAAACATAATTACCTCAATTGCAGTTTCATGTGCATGGCTGTAGACCAGATGAAGAGGAAGTAAGCCGGCTAGATGTTCCGAAACAGCAGCCAGAGCAGCTTTTATGGGTCTCCTGAATAATGATAGCGAAACAAGAACCATGAAGATGTGTCGAAGATCAAATGGAAAGTATGCACTAAGCACAAGAAGGCTGACAAGACTTAAAACTACATCATGTTAAATCACTATATATTTAAGAATTGCCTCATTATAAAAGTCAAGTAATCCTTTGTCTAACCTCAAGTCCCACAGTAGTGATTGCCCATTACACTGGAGATGACTTTCCCATGATGATTGCTCGGACTGAACAACAACGATCATGTCAGAAAGCGCTTTTGCCTGATAGTGCTTGTCAACTAATAATGGCTCTCCATGAATAAACCAAAAGATGGGAACTTCAAGTGTGGATCTGGTATGGGCATGTGCTCCTGAATTATTGAAGTTGGGAATAAGAATCAACTTGACTTGCACAAGTGATGAGAAGGAAAATATAAAGTTGATACTACATCATCAATGGACTTGCAAGTTTTTGTTTCTACTTCCTTCGGTTCTAAGACCCTGTTTTCATAGGTCAATGAGATTCTCTTCAATCCATCCAATGTAGTCAAAAGCGAGATTTTATCTAGAAGCGGTTGGGTGACTAGAAGCGTAAAATCATAAGTTTTTAAGTTTTAAAGCGTAGATTTTAACTACATGTTTAAGGAAAAATCACGATTCTACGTAGAAGCGTTTTAGTGACCTAAAAAGGTAAAAGCGTAAGCTTTTAAGTTTTAAAGCGCGATTTTGACTGCATTGAATCCATCAATAGTCAGTTTAGTGCCTGACAATGGCCTTCTACAGAATTTGCATATCAGAAGAACTTGAACGGGAGATCACCTTTTAGAGAACCATGGTCATTCAGCTTCTGTAACTGATACTGAAGAATGGAGGAGTCAAGATATGTCCGAATGGTTTTCCTATAAGTTCCATTCACAAGCAAGAGTGGGACAGCTGCAGCTCGTCGTCCCACTGAAAAAGCCATGGCTAAAGCAGGATCCTCTGAAAGCGATAACCTAGATCCAGCTAGAGAATTAGGAACACACACGCTTTTTCTATTACATGAAATAAAGACAAACCAATGGAGAACAAAGAGATTGGGTACATTTATTCCATACAGACTCATAGATTTATGCAAGGGCGATTTGAGAAATTTAGACTTTCCAAAGAAAGGATGTACTTACAAATTTGGGCTGAAGATAGGTTTCTGCGAAGGTAATAACAAAGATGAAAGCCCATCCATGATAGCTTTGAGATCCACGGGTAGTTGTTTAATAGTCCTAACTTTCTGCATGAATAGAAAAGTAATTAAGACGAAGCTTGATCTCCAGTCCAGACCTCCTTGAAAGGTATAAAACATTCAACATACCTCTTGTGTTATAAAGAACAACTGAAATGATATCTTCTCGTAGTGATGGAATGCACCATCAGCAATCGAAGGTGAGATTATGTGGCGCATTGACCCCCAAAGAGTTGAACCTAAATGTGCAAGAAAGGTATCTCGTGCAACAGTGTAGTTCTGGAAATCCTGCTCGGAGAAGTAATATAGAACATCAGACACATGCTACTAATTGAGGCATAAGCATCCTGCAAGCATATAGCAACAAACTAAAGCACTGGCATCCTAGAGAGATGAGGAAGGCAACTCATGTAGACAAGAACTGGGTAACAGACTCAATTAACAAGACCAAACTCCATTTTTACATCCAATACTGACTACTCACTTTGATTTAACATTAAAACTAAGAGTGCCACATAAAAAAGAAACCATTAGCATGGGTTCATCAAATAAACTTTTTACTCTCCTGCCGCTTAAGCTCATCTTTGTGAAACTTCAACATATATATATATCTATAAATTTTCTTAACTTCATCAGAGCTATTTTATAAAAAAAATCTTAACAAAATAACACAATGGTAGTGCTAATTCAGCAACAGATCATGGTAGAGACATTCAGATTCTGCTCCTGAATCTAAATCAAAGAAGAGACTACTTGTAAAAAGCCAAATCAACATACCTCCTGGGTGTCGGTGAAAAGATTCCAGTTTTCCATTCGTTTCAATGCCTCCATGGCCTTCTTCTTATGACTCTCATCATTTTCTTCACCTTCTAAGGACTGAAGTTCATTTTTCAAGTCCCTCATTCTCTCATCAAGCTCTGAGACCACAAATATAAGATAGATTGTAAAACAACAGCAACACATCATTATTTGATATATTATACTTCAAAATTTATGACAGTACAGTCTGCCATCCATTTCATTGAACAAACTCACGCTGCAAGCAAATTAACAGAGATAAAAGAGACAAACCTTCACAAAGTGCTAGCTTAACTCTTCTTCCTTTACAATGCTTGAAAGCAAAAAGCTCATAGATATCAATTTCAGCAAGAAGGATATCAACTGCCTGGTGATCTTTCTGCAACATTTCGGAAAAAGATTAACTGGCTCAGATAGTTATCACGGAACTCATGAGACTTCTAACTAGATATAAGAAGTTCTTGTACAGAAAGTGAATACAAGGCACATATGCAAGCGTGGCCACAAACTTAGAAATATGTGAGCAATTGAAGGTAAGCTTGTGCAGATCTTTTCTCTAATGGTTCAAATGATATCTCCCCCACCAGAATTGAACCAATAAGCTCAGCCACACGATTTCCTTTTCGATTTATCAATCACCCATGCAATGTTTTTAGGATTGCCAGTAGTCAACCAGTTACTACTGTCTCAGAGAGTTAGGGTATGACTTTGAACTCAGAAACAAACAACTGAAGCAAATATTCTTATTCAATAAATCAAACATACATCACCAAATATAGCAAACTTTTCCTGGATTGCTTCTTGCAAGCGATCTTCAGCTTCATCTTCAGAAATTTCTGGATCACGCAAGAGAAATTAGATACAGTATAAACTGACAACTGCAAAAGAAAGCACAGGCACATACATATTGCAGCTCTGCAAGAACAAGCCAACAATATTAAGCGACTACATTGAAGAAAAGGGAGAGAAGGCACTTGGAGAAGCATACTAGAGTGTACAAAAACTAACAGCATTTCATACTAATACCAATGAACACAACTGACAATTCAACTCAAAGTACAGTGTGAGAGTTATATCTAGTTACTCCTTATTTGATCCATAATGTTCCCATAAAACATAGTTTGCAGATGAGCTAGGTTACTGAACATGCTATCAGCAGAAATTTTGGGGAGGGGGGTGGCCCATCCACATTACCTGTAACAGCACCAATTGTTTTTTCCACATTTGGCAGACTAAGATCTGTGCGAACGCCTTCCCCACCAACAGCAGGACCCCATGCAAAAGGGCCAGCAGATAGATCGATGAAAGCCCACCTGGTGCAGAAAACAACAATAATTGAGCCTTTACAATTCCATGTGGAGGTACATCAGTATGGAAGAAGAGAAATTTGGCACCTGTCCTTCCCGATCCAGGTATCTGTGAGACATTCTGGTTGAACTCCAGCAAGGTCCCCAGCTTTTAGTTCCTTCTCCAAAAGAAGCTTCATGTATTTATTTTTTCCTTTCATAAGCTGGACATCCAAAGAGGATAATTAATACTCATCAAAGAATCAACACACGCTGTTAGAGGATTGTCCAGCTTCTGGGGGGGTGTTCCCAGTCGGCAAAGGAGGGGAGGCTGCTAACCTGCAAAGCTTTGTTCAAGATGATTTCAGAAGTGTCTTTCCCTTGGTTCAACTTTTCAACATTATTGAGCGCATCCAGACAATTGTTATACCATTCGGCCTGAGGTCAATAAAACAATAGTCTAATACACCGTGATAGAAAGTTCACCATGAGCTCATACCTATTTTATGCATTTATCCATGAAATGGCTCATATAATTATATGTAAACAGAAGAAAAAAAGTTGTAAGTGCCAATTTCACAAGATAAACAAAGAAAACACAGACCGTATCAGCATCCTCGGCAACTGTCCAAGCAAATTTCGCCATAGGATGCTTTTCATACAAAGGTCTCTTGATCTTTTCGAGTGCTGCAGATTACAACCCGATCATTCCAAATTTGAAGCAAGCATTAAAACAATGATTAAATTTATTGCACCTCTGAATGGAAATGGATACTATAACAAAAGTTACTTCATACCAAGGACACTTTCTGGAACATTTCCCGACTCCAATATCTTCGTCTGTAGATTTTTATCCTGGAAACAAAAGTATATGTCATCGTGAAAGAACAGACTTTAAGAATGAAACATAGACATAATTGTTATGAATCATAGGAGCTTAGCTAAAATGATCCAATGACGCAAACAAGAATATAATACATACCCCATTAAAGAATAAATAATAAAAAAACAAGGGGCTCAAATAGAACCCAAACGACAAACCTTTTTCAGGAAATCTATTTCTGACTCCGATAAACCTCTCCTGCAATTCAAATTGAGAAAAACAAACAATAATAAGCAAGAAATGAACAGTATAAACTTAAGCATAATGCCAAACCTAAATGGAAAATCAACAATTTATCAAAAAGAAGTGAAGTACAATATGGACTTTAAGGCAGCTAAGTGGCCTACAACTTAATATTTGATGCCCTGGTTGACATACGAATTCATAAAAGAAGCATAACATGTAATACACACCGATAGCCATATTTAGCTCTCTTCAAGTCGTGCTTGGGATTCAGAACGAAAATGTTATAAGCGCTATCGAGTTCCAGGTATTCAACAAGGCTTGTGAAAATAACATCCATCATATCCATATCAACTTGCCAAAGCGCATCCTTCTCATCACTGGGGAAATGAACAGAAACCATAAGGCAAAAGAGGATCCATGATTTATGCAATTGTTAGCGAAATAAACCTGATTTCCATCTTCTCTCAATTCCTAAATCATTAAGCTTCAAATCGGCATACTCATGAAACGTGACTTCTCTCTCAATATTCACTCCTACGACTAAGTTTAAGCAGATGAAGACAATTTTAGCAGTCAACTGTAGCTTCATGAGAATTGCATAAATGACCATGCAATATATGCATGATTTTAAGAATGCTATTTACCCATAGCTACCTGCTTTACTACTTACAACTGACAATCAGAGTCTGCAAGAAGTATCAAATATCCAGTCATTAAATTCACATCAGACTTTAGATCCTAAAGAAGCTCTTGATTATATAACATTAGCATGTCAGAATTTCAGCTTCAGAAAGCAGTGCAAACATAGGAACAAGACTCCGGAGGTATATTTCACCTGTTACTTGATATGTCATCCTTGCGAGCCAAAACATTGATGGCATGCTCAAAGATTGAAGTGACCTTTTCACCCATTTCAATGGCGTGAACAGAAAAGCTGAAGGATCAAAGTCAGATATCAGAGTCGACGCATCAAACTAAGCACATCAATACATAAATTTAAAAAACAACAAACAAAAGCAACAGAGGAGTGCACTATTAGAGAATTCACTTGTAGTTTATGTGACTGATAATGGGAAGATGATGCCGTTGTCCTTTGTCAACACTGATTTTGTAAAATGGGGTAAGAACCTCTCCGATTTGAGGTACTCGTGTATGTTCAAAGATATGATCAATTTTTGTGAACCAACGCTCAAGTTCATCAGGATTGAGCTTGAAATCTACATAAAAAAGAAACCACAATCCATCATATAACCTATGAACCCCTCAAATTATCAAGTGAAAAGAAAAATAAGAACATGAATAAGGAGCTTAAGATAGACAGCACAAGGAAAGAAATGGCAAGCCATTAACCTCGATTCCCCTTTCCTTCAAATCCAACAAAAATGAAATTTACGGGGACTGGTAGGTACATAGCATCCACTTCTTGAAGCATTAGATAATTCGCAATATTTCCTGAAACGCAAATTGTGTAAGAACTATGTTAGATGGATTTCTTCAGTCTACAACTAAATTATCACATCAATCTCAAAAACAACCATGACATGATGTGCTTGTTTTAACTTCTGTAAAAGTTAAGTTATAGATTAACAAATATATCTCTCAACTCCATATCTAATAATGTAGATAAAACTAATGTTCATAGTGGGAGCAAAAGCCTATTAATTCAAAAATAATACATCATTCACAAATATATATTTCCAACTTTACTCCGAAAACAAGAATCTATTTTACCCTTTAAAGTCATTTCACAATAATCATTCATTTCTTTACCAATAAAAGAATATCTCACATATTGCCTGAGAAGCTAAACACTCTGCCCTCATTCAAGACAAAACTAACATATGAAACATTAACATACCCAATAATCATGTGCAAGCATGTCCAACCAGAAGAATGACCCAGACTTCTTTCATTTGAGAATCAGAGAAAGAAATGGGGAAGTATATTTAGCTGGACATAAACAAATTAGTACCAGGTGCGTCGCAGGATATGCGTGGACACTATACAGAAGCACGTTGGTAAGAATTAAAGAAAATTACCTGCCTTGGTGTAATTTATAAGTCCCATTTTGGCAGGGTTTGAGGACGCCAAATCGTCAAAATCTGCTTCAGCGGAGTAAAAGTAATCATTCCCTGAACAGGGTGAATAAGTGGAAGCTTGGAGAAGTGTTAAGTGAACATACCACTGCGTATAACAGCTTCGCTCCAAAATCTACTCTTCTCTTTGAGATTGAACAGAGAAAACACAGACGACTTCCCGGATTTCTGAGTCCCATCTCTCGACCCATATGAGCTGGTTGCCGCAGACTGATCCGAGCATCAAGAGGTTGATATTATGTATCAATTATCGTACAATTTTTTTGTGATAACAAGAAATGTATTATGTTCATTAAAGTTGTGTCAATGAGTGATCCATTAAAGTGAATAGTTGATCCATTAAAGTGCGACAAGAAGGAGATGAATGGATTAACTAAGCACTTTAAAGAGTGCTGAAAATATTGGTTGATCTACTATGAAATTAGGAAACACCGGCGACTAGTGCAAATGAGGCTAACACGCTTCACATTCGACCAAGTAGTATAAACTTCGGCTTAACAACCAAATGAGGCATATGACGATGGAAAGATAAACATTCCGCTTGTGCAAATGAGGTTAACAAGCTTAACATTCTGCCTAGTAATATAACCCGCGCCTGATCAACCACACGAACATGCAGATCACAGTACTGGCATTGCAACTGAAAGCTAGAAACCCCAATACCACGGGAAAAGCTGCACCGGTCACAATCCAAAACCAGAAAGCTAAAGAAACCATTTTCCACCATCGCAAATTTGATTGAGCATTGTTTCGGTTCAAGCCTTCCCCCATTTCAGACTATCACAATTGAATAACCACTCCACATAAGAGCAAAAGGTCAGACAAATTGGAACACACAAAAAGCTTTAATCCCAGCATTGGTATAACGAACGAACTAGCCAATCTACCAAGACCACCAACAAAACGGACCAAATTGATTACACACAAGATGAGAATGCTGCAATCTCATCAACAAACCTATGAAGGGCTCATCTACACCCAACATCGACACGCGTTGAAGTATTGACAATCGGAAATTGAAGACGCTAGAAGCGAAATCTCACCAGCAGAATTGCGGAGCAGAAGAAGAGGAGGAATCTGCAAGAAGTCATCGCAGAAGAAGCGGCGGAGAAGGCAGGGGATCGTCGATTACGGCAATGAAGGCAACGATCCCTCATTTTCATCGCTCCGTTTCCCTCTTCCAACTGGGTTTTGATATCGCTGTAGCAACTGACTAACCTTCCGAGAAAAAATTGACTGGGTGAGTCAACAGGAAAGGGCTTCTCTTCAGTCTTCCTTCCCGCTTTGCTTCGCTTCACTTCAGTGGCTACTCCGCCTTTCTTCTCTTTCTGCTGGCAAGGTCTTCGCCGTTAAATATTAGAGACGCAGCCGTTGAGACTTACGACGTTGCCGGTCGATGCGGGGTGAAAATTACCACCATAACCACTAAATTTATGCGATTTAGATGTCATAAACCCCTCAAATTCGACATCTTCTGTTCAAGGGGTTCAAGATAGGGTGCATAACCCATGGTTATGCACCCATCAATAACCAAATCTGGACCATTCATTTAGAAAATTCAGATATAAGGATGGAGAATTAAAGGCTATTTTTATTTTCACTAGCTTTCTTAATTGACTCATATCTTTTTCGTTTTAACTCGGATTTTAATTTTTTTTTGCACAGATGGAACGAGTTCACCGTGCTCTACAAAATGAGATCAATTTTCAATATTTTTTTAGGAAAAAAAAATTCTGGCCTCTCGGTACCAACTGCATACCATATGGTATCTTCTTCGTTTTTAATTCGTTTTTGAAAACGTTTGCATAGCAGGGATGAGTTCATCATGATCTACTGGATCTACAAATTTCTGGGTGAACAAATTACAGGACAAAAAAATACCACACAATACCATACAATACCACCCTAGTACGGGGTGGTATTGTATGGTATCTTCTTCGTTTTTAATTCGTTTTTGAAAACGTTTGCACAGAAGGGACGAGTTCATCATGATCTATTGGATCTACAAATTTCTGGGTGAGCAAATTACAGGACCAAAAAATACCACACAATACCATACCATACCACCCTGGTACGGGGTGGTATTGTGTGGTATACAATGTTAAAAGTCGTAAATTACAATTAATATACTTCTACTATCATGTACTCAACCATCCTACAGTATTGGTTTGTTCATACCACCATGGTACGTTTTTCAAAACATAGGTATGCTTTTATTTCAATACCAGTCAATACCATATGGTATAGTCTGGTAAAAAATGGCTCAATTTTTTTTGTTCAAAAAATATATTAAAGTGGATATCATTTTGAAGAGCACAATTAATCTGATCTAACTGTGCAAAAAAAATTAAATTTCGACTTAAAATGAGCGAGAAATCGTCCGTCAAAGATTAAAGAGGGAAAAATTAAAGGCTTTCCATGAGAGAGAGGATGCTGATATCATGCTGATGTGGACGGGTTACTCATGGTTACTCACCATAAGGTTACTGACCTGATCCATTCCCTGTTCAAGGTCCCTTAACTAAACCACGTTTTAATTTTCCTTCCTGAACTACATAATTGAACAAAATGTCTCGTTATGGCACCAAAGGTAAGATAGTCTAACGGTAAAACTGTCGCGACAGTAAAAGTTTGGGAGTTGCAAATTTCATGTTCGAATCCAAGCGAGGTCTGTTGGTGTTCCCGAGAGGTACAAGGCTGTTGGAGATGAAGTCTCATTGACGTTGGCGTCGAATTGAATGCAAGTGGCCCCAAGTTAGTAGGCCCCGCTGTCTATGGCAAAACTCCTACATACAAATCTCTCATCCGAATAACCAAAAAAGCATCTTTCGATTATTAAATTGATGCATTGTGATCAATACATGTCATATTAAACATGCATTGTTGATTTCGTGTATTGTACATTATAGTGTTTGATATATGTGATTGTGTTTTCAATAACTCAAAAGTCACTTTTTAACAAAAATGTCACTCGTATTGTACTCATTCTCAATGCAAAAGGTGAATTATAAAGGTTAAATGTGAAGAAAAAGAAAGAAAACAATTTCAACAATCTCAAAGTTGAGATTGTACAATCATTCAAAATCAAACAAACATACATGTATTGTACATGCATAAAATAAGAAAAATTTATTTCCCTCTCGAAACCTCTTCTTGCTCTTGGATTGGAGATGCTAGGTCGAAAGTCGAAATTCCCTTTATTTTCATGCCATTTGAGGAACATTAGAAGTGAAATTTGGTCAAATTAAAAACTCGGATCGTACAATTAAGTATGAATGCAATAAAAAACTAGTTATAATACGGTCTATTCTTGTATTGTATACCATGAGGATGCTAAATTCTCTATTTGGTTTGATTAAAAACTAAAAAAACCATAAAAATAAATCTTGTGTCACAACCCACTCACTGATACCTCAACTCACTCCCCTCCTGTTCTAGCCCACTCCCAAAAAATCCAAATGTGACTGATCCACCCCAACCCACTCCGAAACCATGTCCACCATGGCATGACCCAACCCATCCCTTCCTCGTTCACATTTCACAAAGATAGAGAGAGCTTATCCCTAACCCCCAATAAATCCCTAATCCTAATTGATGAGTTGTACTTGTGGGTCACCCTCTTAGTCTTACTCTCACTAATTTCTGGTCGACGACCACCTCATCAAAGAGATAAAGATAAAATCATATGAACCCACAGTGACAAACGATCGAGTGGTCGTCGATAACTATATAGGCACGAACGTCTCTCAATCTTTCTACCTCTTTGACTGTCTCTCTATAACTTTGAACATGTCTACTAGAGATTCAATTCCCCTCGTCATCTCTATCTCTCAACTCTCATTTGTCCAATCTGGCACCATCAGAGTCAAAATGAATAAGATATAATCTCATCGCGCCCACGCAAAATGGTGGCACGCCCGACACCAATCTTGTTTAGTAGTACATGAAATCGAGTAATAGGAAGGCGCTTCCTGAGGGAGTTTGCGAGCTAATGTGCAATGGGAAAGTGGCGAACGTGTAGAGCTGAGGACTGCACGAGTTGACGAACGAAATGAAAGTCAAGGGCCAAATGCTTCATACGGGAGTGGAAAACTGGATTTGCCAAGAAATTGACGGTGTCGAGATTGTCAACGTAGATAGTTAGTGCAACATGGATGGGTTGATGAAGTTCAGTTAACAAAATTTTGGACCCAAAGTAACTTATACGTGGCATGACATATTGTCGATACTCAGCCTCCGTGTTTGAGCAAGCAACAGAGTGTTGCTTTTTGGACTTCTAAGAGATGAGATTTCCACCATAATATATAAGAAATGTCATGGTGGACTTTTGGTCGTCAAGATCCCTTACCCATTTTGAATCAACAAAGGCAATTTTGAATCAACAAAGGCAATGAGGGATGAAGTAGTAGACGGAGTGAGGCGAATACCAAGCGTAGGAGTGCCTTTGAGGTAGCGGAGCAATCGTTTAACAAATGACCAATGGAATTAGGTAGACGCTTGTATGAACTGTGCTAGCTTATTGATGAAGAAGGCGACGTCTGGATGAGTGTAGAGCAAGTCCTATAGTGAACCCAACACCTGTTTGTAGAGAGTGGAGTCCGCTAGAGGGGATCCATCAACGAGAGTGAGCATGTTGTAGACGATAATGGAGTATGAGCAGAATACGTTTCGTACATGCAAAACAATCGAGAACGTTGGCAAAAACTTGTGATTAGAAAGGAGGAAACCGAAAGCAGTAAGGTGAACTTCGATACCTAGAAAATAAATCATCGACCCAACTTGATTGGGAGAGAACCGAGCAGCAAGACGAGCTTCAAATTAATTTAGGAGAGCAATATCTTTACCAGTGAGCAAGAGATCATCGACATATATATCAAGAAGTAGAGAAGATCACCCGCCTTGTGGTAGACGAATAGTGAGGCATCAGAGGTAGTCTTAACTCTTAACAAAACCTCGTGTTGAAGAAAGGTAGAAAGCTCCATGTACTTAGCCTGGTATAGACTATAGATCCGATGTGTGAGACGACATACATTATTTGGATAGGTAGAGTCACGAAAATCCGACGGCTAAGCCATGTAAATAGTCTCCTGTAAATTACCTGGAAGACACACAATATTCACATCAAATTGAGAGATATATCAGTGATAATTAAGAGCAATATTGAACATAATACTGATGACCGGCTTGAGAACATGATTGTATCTTGTATGTGTCGTGACTAGTAAAAATCAATGTCTGAGCGTTAAGTGAAATCTTTGACTACCAAACGAGCTTTTGAATAGATCAATTGAGCCATCTGTCTTGTATATGACCAAATTGTTTCTTCCCCTTTTTCGTTCTTGGTCCATGTTGAAACAGTGAAACTTGAAAGTCAGTATAATCAATATCGGAAACGCGAGCTACTCTCTTTGTGGTGTGTGTAAGTGTAACCCATCTAGCTTCCCACTCTCTCTAGTCTAGTGTCTACTGACAGCCGAGCAGCAGCATCAATGGATGAAACGACGGACGAGATAGATTCTCGAGCTCTTTTCTTTATTTTATATAAGTAAAATCTTACATTATTATATTACCAAGTTGTTCATACTTCTCCAACGTTCCTTCATTTTCTTCACCCGGTTCTCTTCTGCTCCTCTCTCTTCCAGCGTTCTTGTTTTTCATTATTTTAACCTTACCATCTCTCTGCTGCTTAGTGCTTACTCCCGTAATTTTCAAATCTTACTGTTGTTTATCCTTTCCCAATTTCATTTCCCTTTTGCAGTTAATGACTGCATGTCTGTTCTTAAACTTTGTCTGCTTTCGAGATTCCCCACCCACCCAACCTGGGATGCTGTTCTTTCTTGAGCTCTGTAACTCCACCACCAAGCTCTAGAACTCCAATGTTTCTGGCTTGAAACAGAAATCCCAAACCATTCTTTTGCACCACATCTGATTTGAGTTTTCTTTCCTTTTCTTGAGCTATCATGCCAAGCTAAATCCGGGGGAGGGACAGAAAGGGAAAGAAAGACTCGGCTATCAACAGGCTGTTGCCTATTTTTGCTACGCTGATTCTCCAGATCAGCTCGCTGTTGCCTCTTCACTTGGCATCACTTTATCCTTTTCTTTCCCAACTGGATTTCAACTGCACTTCTGTATTTGGGTGTTCCCTACTTTTTTCACAGCAACCTTAAAGCCCTCTCCTTTACCTTTCCTTTTCCATTGTTGTTTTTGTTTCCATCTTGACTTGGTTGATATCACTTTTTTTGCCTCACACCCATTTGAGCAATCCCCTTTTGGCATCAAACCCAGTTTTCTGATTTTGGCAACTCAACTGGGATTTCTATCTGTGCTTCTTTCTGTTTTTTGGGGAGATGGGTTTGGTATCGTTGCTTCTTAGGTTAGTTGCCCTTTTCTCAGTGTTAAGTGTGGGAAGTGGCATAGGTGCTAACTGGGGCACACAAGCAACCCACCCGCTAAACCCTGAAATAGTAGTGAAGCTGCTGAGGGATAATGGGATCCAAAAGGTCAAGCTTTTTGATGCAGATTATGATACCCTTAGAGCCCTGGGGAAGTCTGGGATTGAAGTCATGGTTGGCATCCCAAATGATATGCTTGCTCCTCTGGCTGCCAAGATGAAGAATGCTGAGGAATGGGTTTCCAAGAATGTCTCCAAGCATATCACCACTGATAATGTCAACATCAGGTAAGTTCTTTGCAGCCCCCTTTTCTGCTTTTTTCTATATTTACTCGGTTTGCCATAAATGCAAAAGGGAAGATGGCCCGAAATCTTGAGCTTGATAGTCAGAAATCTTGGTATGATTGATCAATATGAAAGACTTTCCTTGTCTTTCTTTGACTTTGTTTTTGTTTGTTTCTTGATGCTGAAAGCCATTGATGGATCATCATTTTTTAATCTGGGGGATGTGGTCCCACATTAAACATTACAGTCATGGTTTTGAGCTTGAGCATGATTGAGTTAAGCATGTAGCTGCTTAGTTATGTGCTTTGTAGGGTTGCACCCGATTATCTATTTGACAGAGACAGTCCTGTGAGCGTAATCTTGTGCATATGTATTATGGAACATTCAATGCTGTCAAATTTCTTATTGATGAATTAGCATTTCATTTCATCAAAGGCAGGCAAAATAGCATCAACCTTTTAATTGTCTGCATCCTGTTACTATTACAATACTTGCTACTATCACACTCTAAGATCATTCACAACCTGTTTTCTCTATGTACTGTACGATTGTAACCTTCTGCACATTTTAAGAACTTCTAGTCTGAAACCAGAGCGGTTTAATCAAACTAGCTGCTCCTCCTTAGGGACAATGCTGTCAAATTCAACATAAGGGTCTTTGGATTTATTTCTGGTCAGGGATGGAACTCATAGTTTTGAACTCCTATATTAATTCCACCACAAGTCTTTCTGCATTGATGCCCGAACATACCCTTTCTGGCACTTTGAAGCCTTCTTATCGCATACCATAGGCTGATAAGCAGAAGCGGTAGGATTAATCCGGGCACTCTAGTAACCAAAGAGGCAACCATGAACTGTTAGAGCAACAGAACCAACAGTAGAGAACTTGTGTAGAAGCAGTGCACAATCTAGAGTCTCTATCTTCCTGAAAGCATAGATCTTGCAATGAGGCTAAAGCCACTGCCTTCTTACTAATAGTAATCAGTTAATGGCTAACACTGTAAGCAAGTTTCCTTCATATTAACTGCAAGGGAATGATACAGGATTCATAGTAATCAGTTAATGGCACATGATTCATTCTTGGACCTCTTACAACAAACTTCCCCCATGCCAACTTGGGGTTTCCTTTGTTCATTTACTAACCTCCATTCCTCTCCTTTTTCTGCGTTTCAGATACGTTGCTGTAGGAAACGAGCCCTTTCTGCAAACATACAATGGAACCTTCCTCAGCACGACCTTACCAGCCCTCCAGAACATCCAATCCGCACTCATAAAAGCTGGGCTCAGCAGCCAAGTGAAGGTTACCGTCCCTATGAACGCAGACGTCTACGAGAGCGCAAACAGCCTCCCATCTGGCGGCGACTTCCGTCAGGACATCCACGAATACATGCTCCCCATCGTCAAGCTGTTGAGTGACACTGGCTCGCCATTCACCGTCAACATATACCCTTTCATAAGCCTCTACATCGACTCCAACTTCCCCGCCGAGTACGCTTTCTTCGACGGCAATGCGTCCCCAGTAAATGACGGTGGAACATACTACTACAACATGTTGGACGCCAACCTCGACACTTTGGTCCACACCTTGCAGAAAAATGGGTTCGGCAACATGCCGATTATCATCGGAGAGATCGGGTGGCCAACTGATGGCGATCGGAATGCCAATATGGAGTACGCTCGCCGGTTCAATCAGGGCTTCATGTCACGTATAGCAGGTGCGTCGTAGTAAAAATGTTAGTAAGTGATATATGACCTATATTTGAATCTCTCTCAACAACTCAAGTTATTGGGACCAACTGGTTCTGTTATTGAAATGTTTTCTGTTCCAACAACTTGAGTTATTGATACCATCTGTTTCTTGAAACAAAATCTTGAATTTTATGTGAAATCAAGAAAAATAATTGGAAAACCGTTACTGGGATTTTTATCTTACATTGCTCAGGTGGGAAAGGAACTCCATTGAGGCCAGGGCCAATTGACGCATATCTATTCAGCTTGATCGATGAGGATGCCAAGAGTATTGATCCGGGGAACTTTGAAAGGCACTGGGGGATATTTACGTACGATGGACAGCCCAAGTATCTGCTCAACCTCGGGACGACAAACTCTGGCCGGCTGCTTCCAGCGAGAGGCATTCAGTACCAGGAGAACAAATGGTGTGTGATGAGGCCTAATGCGAGGCTTGATGATCCTAGCGTGGCGGCAAGCGTTAGCTATGCGTGTAGCCTTGCTGACTGCACTAAGCTAGGTTATGGCACTTCATGCGGGACTTTGGATGGCAAGGGAAACATTTCCTATGCGTTCAACAGTTACTTCCAGATCAACAATCAACTAGACGAGGCCTGCAAGTTTCCGAATCTGTCGATGATCGTGAAAACAAACCCTTCACAAGGAACTTGCAGGTTTGATGTAATGATCCAGCCATACTATGGAGGTGCTGATGGAAGGCTACCTAAACAACTGGGCTTAGTTGCTGCCTTTGCTCTCTTTTTGCTGACATTTCTGTGAAGTTTAGAGGCTCCTACTTCCTAGAGGTACCCCTTTTCCTCATTACGACTAGAATTTTTATAGGATGTAGCATACAGAACTTCTTGAGTGGTAGTTTAGATAATTTGTGAGTGGAAATAGGCACATTTGTTTAAGTTGGCTACTTTGCAACGAGGGGTGGATCTGTGTGGGCTGATACTGTCAGATCTCGGCTCGTTTACAGCTATTGGATCAATGAATCGCCCCACGTGTTGATAAGCATTGGATCAACATGTGGTGATGTTTTGTGAATAACGCCTCAGGCATTGGCCTGACGGCTGTAAATGCATCGGGGCTGGGGGTATCTGACAGTTCAGTCCATGCGGACTCACCCCTTGACTGCAGGGTAACCACACACTGTCTTGTTTAGCAAGTAAACTCAATAGCTTCTCACTTTCTTATGTATGCTTGATATTAGCAACAATACATATGCAGATTGTGGTTGCACCTGAAGTCTAATTAGGCGGTGTGAAAGCTGGACGCCAGTGGAAGGGCTGCATGGAAAATGCTGGCTATTGGAGCTATATCATGCGTAGGGCTCATGTTCAGTAGCATCTTTAGCTGCTCCTTGCATTGTGTGGCTTTATGAGCAAGTTTTGAGCTGATGAACATACTTTGGTGCTCTACATTTTTACATTTGGCCCCGTGTTTGTCCTTCTTCAATGGGAGGATATGTAGCTTCTCCATGACATTGCAGTAGTGTGGCTTAATGACTTGTGAATTTTTGTTTTGGCGAAGATCAATTGCACAGATGATTAACGAAATCTACCCGGTTTGCAGTTGCAGTTACATATCTTTCCTAGATAGTCATAATGAATTAACACCAAGAAGACATCTTCCTCTTTTTGATGATTATTTCACATAGGCTGTAGAATCTATGGTCACTGGAAGCAGAAGGTAAACGTTGCATTACATGGAGTCCCAATATGGTCTGGTTTCTGCTGTTTCACATTATTAGTTACTTGAGAAAAAAAACTTTCCTCTTAGCTACTGCTAGTTACTAATTAGGTTCCTCAACCCATGGACTAACCCTGGGTTTCCTGACATTCCTGAGCGCCTTCCAGACGACACTGTTACACTTGAAACCCGACCCAAACGCGATCTGCCAAATCCTGTCCCCTCTCTTGACACGGGAATTCGCTTCCAGGTACGCCAGCTCGTACCACACGCTGCTGCTGGAAGTGTTCCCGAACCGCTCCAGTGTCTTCCTCGACGCCTCCATGTACTCCTCCGTGAGCTCCAGGTGGCTCTGCAGCTCGTCGAGCACTTTTTTGCTCGTCGCCAGGATGCATACGTGCTCGAACGCCAGCTTGTAATCCGGTATGTAAGGCTTGGTTTCCTTCTTCCTGAACAGCAGGTTGGTGAAGAAGTGGAACTGCTCAGATACAGGGAGAACCAGTGGCCCTAAAGTTGTGATGTTGGCTTTCAGTGCGTGCCCTCCCACTTCAATCACGTCCTTGCTTACCGAGATGCCCTTCTTGCCTTCTGCGTCTTCTCTGACGCGGATGCTTTTGAAGCTTCGCTCGTCCATCCCTTTATGCGTTCGCACGAGCTGCAAATTTCGCGCACGCGACATATATATATATTTGTTTTCAGCTATAACCAGAACTGAAAACAGAGTCGTGCTGCTATATACTGACGGTCATGCTTTACCTGCTTGAGTTCGTACTTGGACCGCCACCGATCGATCCGGCAGCTGGAGAGCAGCATTGCAGCAGCGCCCATTCTGAAGAAGCAGTTGGGAAGCAGCATGTCGGTCCGGTTCCCGCTGTACCAAGTGTAGCTCACTGCCTCCATGCTGACAACCAGAGCGTGGGAGCAAGGGTAAGCCGTGAGGAGATCCCTGGCGAGATCGACGGCGACGATCCCCGCGGCGCAGCCCATCCCGCCGAGGTTGAAGCTGTTGATGTTGTGCTTGAGCTTGTAGTGGTTGATCACCATGGAGGCTAAGGACGGGGTGGTGTTGAGGACCCCGCAGTTGACGACGAGGATGTTGATGTCCTTGGGACGGATTTGGGTGGCGGCTAGGAGGTCGTCGACGGCTCCGAACATGACCATGGCGGCTTCCTCCCTGCCGTCGCGGAGGGTGATTTTGTGGGGGGCGGGGCGGAAGACGGAGCGGGGCATGTAGGTCGAGTCGCCGAGGCCGGAGTTCTTGAGGCCGCGGTGCTGGAACTCGATGGAGGCGTCGGTGAAGTTGCCGGATTGCTTGGCCAGGCGGATGAACTCCGCCTTCGAAATCTGCGAAGCAGAACGTAGACATTAATATAATTTTGTTGAAACATTTTTCCTTACCGAAGTCAAAACACCCATAAAATGCATGCAGAATTAGTCACAGTAACAATCGAACTAGGAAAACGGTTAGAGGTTAGAGTAGTAGAACCATATAGTGTGGTCCGGTTCATTTGTTTGGATAGTTGGGGATGGACTGAATGGTATGTAACGGTTTTGACATGAAATCAGGTGAAGTAATTACCTCGATTTGACTGGTATAAAACTGAATTTATCATTGACCATGAAAGATTTTAAGGAAAAAATAAACTCTAACGTAAATTAATATCCTCCAACCTGAATTACTAATTTCATTTCTACTTCTCGTTCTTCGTTTTTCAACCCGTTTGTCGTCTTTATGTAGTATATTAAGGGCTGACACCCTATAAACTAATAAATTCAAGAATTTTTTTTTATCATATAGTTTGAATGATTTGCTAGAACTTTGTGATTGATGATATGGATTTGAATTTGTTTACGAGTAGTGATAAATTCAGTCCTAAATTAATAATTATATAAGTCTTTTATTTATATATATTTTTTAATGAACAACGAACTTTATTACCTACAAAAATAAGAGAAAGTACAACAAAACGAACTCCTACACAAGCACATGATAACGAAAAAGACCGAAAGAAGTTGGACAAAGCAACCAAAACTCAAAGAGAACAAACAAAGATTAGTACGCGAACTCCCAAGACTGCTGAACCGTTCTATCAACAATCCTTAACCAATAGTTCCGTAGTGGTTAACCGCTGAACCATAAACCATTAACTTTTCCTGTTCAGCATACTCCGAAACAAGAAATTATTAGTACGTACCTTGAGTTCGTTTGGCGGGCGGAAGCAAGCGAAATCGACGAGATAAACCGATCGCGGGGCCAAGTCGAAGTAGATGTAAAGCATCAACCCCAACAATCCCACGATGAAAAGAGCATCGACAGCGTGGCACTCGGGGAAGAAATCCTGCCACGTCAGCCTGCCAACGTGGACGCCGAAGACCGCCAGCAGGACCGGGGCGGCCAGGAAGTAAACCCCGTGGCTGAGGAGGTACGTGTAACCGAGCCTCACGTACTTCAAGTTGACGGAGCCGAGGAAGTCCGGCAGCCGGCGGCGGACCCTGACGGAGAAGGCCTGGGAGCCCTCGACGACGCCGCGGTCGACGATGTCGGCGGCGAGCAGTTCTTGCTCCCTCGACATGGTCGTGGTTAAGTCTGGGGGGGGAGAGAGGTTTGTGGGAAGTGGTGATGGAGATGATGATGGTGATAAAATAACGGAGAAAAGCGTAATATAGAGAGAGGTTGGAGGGAGTTTGCGTAATGGCGGTGATGAGAATGAAAATGAGGTAACAGAAAAAGGCGAGGTTCTTTGTGCATGGCGCCATGGGAACGGCTGGTTTCTAGCTTCATATAGTACTCGTGCGGCGGGGGTTGTCAACTTCCCTATGCCATCATTTTTTTTAAATTTTTATTTATTTCTAGGACCGGTTTGTTGAGTTAGTATAAGGTTAGAAAAGAAGTGTATATTGAAATATGTGACAAAGGGTTGCTCAGATCGCGGCAAAGCATATTCTTTTATTGTCGGATCGATTTCTGATCGACCATCTTTTCCTTTTCTTCTTTTCATTTTGTGACTTGGCTTGTAAAGATCCTATATATTCACTCGTTCGTATTTAGCCGCCCGCTTCCCACTGTTATTGTGAATATTTATGATACTAAAAAGAATTATTTATTCCGATAACTCGATTTTTTTTCAATTAAAAATGATAAAAACTGAACTTCATACCAAGGAATTTCGAATTTGCACAAAATTCATTATACTTAATTGAATATACCCGTCATATTATTAGGAATCATCCATTACGAGACCTCAACCAGATACTTCTATTCATACGCAGAAATTTATCAACTGCTATCGTACGTTTTCTTTTTGCCATGAATATCCCAAAAACGACATCAAGATGCGATATAATACACGGGACATTTTCATGTCAATAAAGAAAAATTGTAGAAAGATAGGGACACTAGTCGATTAGAAGTCAAACCAACGATAAGAGACTTATTCCAATAGGAAAAGAAACAAAAAAATGGTTGCTCCCCCAGAGATTACAATATTTATCTTGATTAACTAGAATATACAAAAATGATGCATGAAAGATAGACTATTAATTAAAAAAGGAAAGGATAAGATACAAAATCCAGCATTGTTAAACCATATCATTAATTCACCCTCCATTCCATTCACTATCTAATGACCTAGATTAATTAGGTACACCTAGGTTTATTATTTGTGTGTTTTCTGTATCAAGTTTTTTTTAGCGCCGTTACCATGAACTTGAATTGTGTATTCGAAAGAAGCTGCTTGTTCAAGAATATTACAAATAGTATTGTTTTCTTTTAGGGAGTAAGGAAAGGACTTCGAGAAGCAATCAAGGTGGCGACTTTTGTATTTTCTGTCCCAAAGCTTCAAAGTTTTGTGACAAGCAGAATCTATTTGGCAAAAAACTTGGAGATGATCAAGAGCCATTGAATGCAACTATAGTGACTTCAACTCTACAATTTGATGGAGAGAAGATGACAAAGATCCAGTGAAACACATCATCAAGAGATTCAATGATGTTTGCTCCACCATAGAAGGAGAAGAAGATGGAGATAATGTACGACTTATAAAACTCACCCCCTTCTCCTTAGCAAGAAGATTCAATTATTACGCGTGCGTGCGGATCAATGGATCTGGTGGGAACGAACGGGAGCTTCGGAATCCGTCTACCAGCGGTGAGATGGATAATCGTATACTCTATGCATTCGTGTATACTGTGTAGTCAAATTTGGTTGTTTGATTTTGAGTGAGCCATGATTTGACAGTGGAGATTATTAAATGGTTCCAATTCACTTACTTCTTTTGAATGATTTGTGTTTGGGACCTCCTACCATGCCTTGAAGTTACTATAACTTGACGTTTTTTACCTGCTATAGCAGGTTTTATAGGTCGTGTTATGTAAAACTAATGTTTATTACGTAACAATTACGTAATGCTTGTTAGTCTTACGTAACAGTTAAAATAGAAGCGTTACGGAAGGTTTCCGTAACGACTTATCATTTTACGTAACGCTAGATTAATATTCATTACGTAAAAGCATCGTCTATTACATAATACTTCCATAATGACATTTTAAAACTGTTACATAAAATACACGCTCATTACGTAAAGGTTAAGTAACGAAGGTTATGTCTTACGTAACAGTTAAATTAGAAGTGTTACGTAGACTTCCGTAATGACTTACCACATTACGTAACTTGATTAATATCAATACGTAAAAGGACCATCTATTACGTAAGGCTTCCGTAATGCCACTTTACAACTGTTACGTAAAGTATGCATCTATTACGTAAAGGTTACGTAACGATAGTTATTTCTTAAGTAACAGTTAAATTAGAAGTGTTACGTAAGCCTTCCGTAATGATTCAACAGATTACGTAACGAAAGGTTAATATTCATTACGTAAAATGAGTGTCTATTACGTAAGGTTTCCGTAATGACATTTTTCAACTATTACGTAAGATAAACACACATTACGTAACAATTACGTAATGCCTACTGTATTTTACGTAATGCGACTTGTGAAACCTGTTATAGCAGGTCAAAAACATCAAGTTACCATAACTTCAAGGTATTGTAGGAATTTCCTTTGTGTTTATTTTAATTTAATTTGGATTTTGAAACTTTTACGTGAAATAGATAGATTAATAATTGCGATTAAAAAATTATATCCAATTTTTTTTTTTATACTTCATGAAGAAATTTTTTTGATCGCCCGCTAGCTCGCTACCACCCTTTACCTTCTTTATTTTAGTTTGATCACAAGGTGCTAGGAATTTGGTATACATGGTATCCACAGTGTTGCTTCTTGTACCCTAGCTCTGGGGTTTCAGATCATTGTGGATTACTACGGGACTCTTCCCCCGCTTTAGATTCCTTGCCTAAACCGTTCAAAAAATTTCTAAGTTTTCGCTTAGCTCTACCCTAAGTATTCTACTTTACCGAATGATAAGGCATGAGAGATCGAGGTGGTGGAATTGAAGCATAATGCTGTCTTGTATGGTAAGCAGAAGGTTCTCAAGACCAAATTGAAAAGGGGAAACTACAGAGCAAATTAACTTGCGCTGATGAATCCCAAAAACTAGGAAATTAAAAACTACTAATTAAGCACGACCCCCAGGACCTATAACGCAATTCCAAAGACACAAAAGAGGAGAAAAAAAAAGTGACCGACCGGAAAAAGAAGTGATAAACGCTAATTAACTAGCCATCATATCAATTATTATTACGAGATCAACGGATCTGGTCGAACAACATGGTACAGTCGTCAAGACAACTCTCGCAACAATGCTGTTTATCCTTCTTCGGGGAACAACTGGCCGCACCGGTGACCGAACCATCGGGGAACGACTCGTCGTGTCTGGTCGCGCAGCGACGTGACGAGGAAGGCTACGCAGGAAGCGTAGCTATTGCCACAAGGCCCGCCGCCGATCTCGGTGGCGAGGCATTTCGCCTCGGCGGCGTGCCCTACGAGTAGCAGTAGTAGTAGTAGTGCTGCTATCAACACAGTGGTGCGAGCAGGAGATGCGGAGTATATATGGTACACCATGATTAATTATACGATCGATATGTGGTTCTTTTTTGTTGTTGTACTGAGATTATGTGTTGGGGTTTGGGGCTTTCTTATAGGGAGCTTGGAGTTCAATGATATTCCCATTCTGCGGCAGTCTCATAGCCTTGTTTGGTCGATATACATGGCCGCCTTTGATTCCCCTTTCTAAACCTTTTGTTTCTCTCTATATAGCTAGTTTGTAGGATATTGAGATCTTGCACTTAAGTCTTAACTCCAAATTATTAATTGATTACGAGGGGTTAGCATTGCTTTTGGAGTTTAATTGATTGATTAATGTTTTGGAATGATTGAATATGAGGGGAGAAATCGGAGAGGAAAATCGGGCAGGGGTGAGATGCATAATTATATCATTTGTACATCGTAGAGTTTCTAACATATAAAACGATTTATCTAAAGATACAAGATTACTAAATTTTTTTTGTGTTTTGACTAAAAATATTTTATTTCATTCGCAGTGTTTAAATAAGTTCAATATTCCAAGTTTGGTCACTTTTCTTATAATTTCGTTAACTTTGTCTAGTGTGACATTCAATTTTCGTAGTTGATTGTGTGACATGACAATTTTAGAAATAAAAAAAAATCAATCTGTTAAATTTTCCACCTAATTCTTACAACTATACATTTTGGTGATTGTTTGGTTGGGATAGTTACAATACATGCATTGTCTACTTCGGTGCACTCAACTCTAAAAGTGTCCTTAATACATCAAATTTTGAACTTTAATTAGTACTCTCAATCTAATATGATGATATGACATAGAATCATAACAAATCAATCTATTACCCTAACCCCTTAACTTTCAATTTTGAATCCCAACTCAAAATCCCAAATTGTAAACCTAAACCCTAACCCTAAATCCCTAAATCCTAAATCCTTCGAATTAAAGTAAATTGTGAATGAATTTTTTTCAAATTCATGTGCTTCTTGTTCATAATATCATAAGCAATAATTGATATCATTTTGACATGAATCGCATGTTCAGAATAATGACAATTATGAGGCGGGTGCACTGAGTGCACCCGAAAAAGTGGGTGCACCGAATACTCCACCATATATATATATGGCAAAGACTAGCGTACGTCAGTCGTACGCTATATGCCTGCGTTCACACATATTTTCTGTACATGGATAATTCTTCTTTTTTTGTTGGTAAAAACGTAGGACGCTAAAAGGGCGCCCCTGCCTGGCACATTAAATTAAACGATCTTGAGCGATGCCCAAAGAGTCATACAAAACCCAGAAATTAAGGCCGGGATCCGCTATATCTATTACATGAACTCCACAGCTGAGGGTATGACCTTTATTAGCAAGAAAGTCTGCAACTTTGTTGCATTCACAATAACAATAGGTAATATGAATTTCCCAATTTTGCTTACGAATCTCTTGGAATTGTCGTAGCAAGTTAGAGTACCTTGTGCAGCTCTGATCCGCCGAAGATAACAAGTCGAACACAGCTTGGGAGTCAGTCTTTAAGATTACTTTCTTGTGTCCTTGTTTCCAGGCTAGTTGAAGTCCAAGCACCACTCCTTTTAATTCAGCTCTTGTTATGGTGCAGGTTCCGAGATTAGCTGCGAAAGCTCCCAAGCATTTTCCAAGATCATTACGAATCAATCCACCTGCTGTGGCTCTTGAGTTTGGTTGCCGAACGGACCCATCTGTATTGATCATGACGAATCAGAACCGTTGGTTTTCATTTTGAGATTAAATAAATATTATGGTTTGGGTT